AGTTGAAAAAAATTCACTTCTCACATCATCTTGATTTTGAATCCCACAAGTGGGATCGTGAATGTGTAATGCTGAATAGTTCTATATGGAGACGAAACAATTATCCAGTGCTTTCAGGTTTTCAATAGTGATCTAACATCAATCGATTTATAATCTCAATCAAAAACTTAAAAATCTCCACAATCCCACATTGAACATTAAAAATAACTTTAAATTCTTTTTTTAGAAAAAGACTTTAGATAACGATTTTTGTTTTCATATTTAATTATGCATAATGAAAAATCTACATAATAAAATTATTCATAAATGAAAATGTAGTGCGTTGTTAAGTTATTAAACATTCAATTTAGTTGATTTATGAATAATGATTCGTTGTATCACAGAAGTACATCTAAAATTAATTTCAATTTCGATTCATTCTTACATCAAAATTCAGACACCACAAAAGTGATTGATTGTTTTTAAATTAAAAAAAAAAACTCATGTACACAGTAACTAATTAGTCTCCAAATAAGTAAATCAATAATAAGTTAAGATGAAGAAGTTATGGAATATTATTTCTCTATAAGTTTCAATAAAGTTAAAACTCCCTGAAGAAATTATTTTTTGATAATTCACCAAAGAGTTCATCAATATGACATAATCAATCAAGTGAAGCTATAAAATTGAAGATAGCGAAGTGATACTCTATTTTCAGAATGAATTATGTCAAATGTAACAGTAATCTATACAACAAATGTTGACTATGTATCCATTTCTATTCTTAACTTCAGATTAACAGTTAAAGAACATGACATACCTTTTGATTTCCAAACTATTGTCAGACAGTGATAAAAGTGTATATATTGATTAGCTTAAAACGTAAATAAACTGCATCAAGATGAAATGACCGACATTCTAGTGGTAATCTTTCTTATGTAGGGTTAGTTGTTTCATTAATGAGGAGGGCATCAATCAATAAAACTAGATAATAGAGAATCAATATCATATAGTATGCTCACTACAGATCTGAATTTCATCCCATGTGTTTTGGGGTTTGTACTAGTTCAGGCGACCCAAGGTTCAATTATACAACCATTTACTGCGGGTTGTTTTATAAGAGTTTTTCAGTTAATTCCATTATCTATGATGAAAGTCACTTACCGATTGCACATTCCTCATATATTATATAATTTATATATGCTTTCGAATATCAAGATGTGTATTTATTAAATCTTAAGGTAAAAGGATATACCCGTTTTTCATTATTCTTTCACAATTTTTTTTGTTCATGCAGTGAAAATAAGCTGTTATATTGTTAATCAATGAATCATGGTGTTTGAAAATGATTCTGTCTATGATGTTGCCATGCCTTGTTAAAAACGTTCATAGTAATGGGTTTACTAATAGTTATTCCAACATTGTGCTAACAAATTAAAACAGTAAAGCTATTTTTCGATAGTATAATAAGAAGACGAAGATTATCAGAACTATGTGATATATTAGCGCAATACATTTCAATCTGATCACACATATACTTGTTAGGAACATTTATATATAAAAATAAAAGGTCAACTAGACTAGAAATGGAGGGTAAGGGGAGACAAGGCTAATAATAATAATAATAATAATAATAATAATAATAATAATAATAATAATAATAATAATGCTTACCATACTTATGAATTAAGGCTATATCGAGGCAATACGCACAGTATGCACATATGCCAATTAGAGACTGACCAATTGCAGTCCCAACAAATCGATGGGAAGATTCAAACAAACAATACTGAATGAATTTAAGCTTCACCCCATCGCACAAGCAAGTGGCTATCAGTACTCAGTGACCAAGTGGATAACGCAATGGCGTTTGAAGTGAAAGGTACGGAGTTCGAGTCCCAGAGTGAACATCAACTCTGAGATGCAGGTACGTCCAGCTGACGAGTCCCAAATAGGACGAAACGCGCGTCAAACTGGATTCCACTGCTAGCCACTATCCATCTCTGCTTACCATGCTTGTGAATTAAGGCTATATCGAGGCAATACGCACAGTATGCACATATGCCAATTAGAGACTGACCAATTTCAGTCCTAACACATCGATGGGAAGATTCAAACAAACAATACTGAATGAATTTAATAATAATAATAATAATAATAATAATAATAATAATAATAATAATAATAATGTGAAAACAATTTGAAACCTAATCACTCTGGATAATAAGCTAATATTACCAGGGTAGGTTTAAGGTGAGAACTAACTATTTTTGAATACACAAAGGGGGTTTGAATATTCATATGGCTAACGCCTCAATAAACCTAAGAATACGCCCTTTTGCATTTTTATACAACACCACAAAAGCCCAGTTAAAATTTATCATATGTCCTGTTTCAATTATATGCTTGGTAATCGAGGATGATGGATGTTTATCCTCTATTCTTATCGGGTCTTTTGATTCTATTAGTTTCTGCAACCATTTTGGTACATGTTCATACACCCGAATTTACAGATCACGATTGTGTATGACCACACACACATTTAAATTGGTAAACGCAGTGGAATGTGATATAATCGTTTTCATGTCTTTTGGGTTTTGAATGAAGCACGAACCTAGTTCTTTCTTTGATAATGACCTTCGCTGCACAATACGTTTTGTTGATGACTGATTTAGGCCTTTGTTTCAATAAAAGGCTATTTGAATCACCTCTAAATGGAAAGGTGATGTAGACAGGCTATTTTTCCGCCAAGGCTATAATAGATCTCATTGTACCATGAACTTTCCATCTATTTATAAGTTTAATTGGATAACCATTCCCCATTATTGTCTTGTTTAACAACTTAACATTATCATCATCAATAGCGTCGTTTGTGCAAATACGATCAAGCCTGTTAAAAAGACACCTTATCAAACCTCGTTTGCATTGCATAGGGCAATAACAATAGTAACTAGTCTAGTTGACCTTTTATTTTTATATATAAACGTTCTTAACAAGTATATGTGTGATCAGATTGTTCGAAATATATTGCGCTATTATATCACATAATTCTGACAATCTTCGTCTTCTTATTACACTATCGAAATTTATCAAAGGGACTAATTGCTTTCAATTTCTTAAAAGTAAAGTTATTGCCAATCTTCAAATAGGAACATGACCAGTTATGAAAGATTCTAAAAGTTTTTAGGGCTTGTTATAATGTGTTATGAAATAACAAATAGCATGTGTGTTTACTGCTATTTAATGAATTACCTTATAGATGACCTTGATATAATAACTATCCATTATTTTCGCTTAAAAAAGTGAGTATATATTTCACCGAGATGCAGTCTATGATAATGAAAGCAATCTCTTCGTGATGTTTCTATACAAATATTTTGTTTATTTTGTCATGCCACCTCCATCATTATCACTGGAACATAAGTGAGGATGACGGAGGTTTGTTCAAGGGCATCATATCTGTGTTACCTGCATAATTCTGATTGTAACATATTTTGAAATTGAAGAAATCCCTACGTTCGTCCTCTTTTCTAATGCTATGGAATGAATTTTCTTTGTAAATCAAGATAATGGGTAATTGTGGAAGAATAAATCATTCTAATCTCTTTCAAAACAAATGCTGGTACATTAGGAATCCTAACCTTTGCTGGCTAAAAATTTCCGTCGTGAAATATGCATGGAGATTTATCTCGGAAGTGAATAATGGCTTTGATGAATTTGGTTGATTTTCGTAATGTTGAGACTAAGAATGCGCGACATATTGACCCTGAGTGCAGATAAACTTATTATTTACTTCCTACGGATCTGTAACACGAATAGTGTTTGGTTGACAACATAGAAGATGACAAGCAAAATGAGAAACTATCTACCAGTTATATCGAACTCAAAAGGATGAGTGACTGAATATATGAGGACAATTGGACTACAAAGTGCAATAACCGAGAAAATGCAACATATGCCGAATTAGGGCACTTAAAGTATGGATTAGAATGCATTCTCGAGTTTAAATCACATGAAATTTCACAAAGAAAAAGATATGACAATAATTCAGATATTAAACAAAACATCGTGAATAACAGAATGAGGCAGTCACATAAATCAAATGTTAGGAATTAAATATTATGAAATGTCTGAACTAATTATCAGAAGGGGGTTTTATGGAGATTTTAGTAATTTAATATAGTTAAAAATCATGGATGAATTGAAGATAGACCACCATGGAAAGCCTGGAAGTACTGGACGGCCGTTTCGTCCTATCGTGGAACTCCTCAGTTAAACCTTGAGACCGTTGGATACCCGCTCAGTGGTCTGGTGATTAGGCGCTCGCGCGCGAGACTGGTAGATCCTGGGTTGGCATCTCGTGAGGCAGGATCGTGGATGCGAAATGCTGAGGGGTCCCACAGTAGGATGAAACGGCTATCCAGTGCTTTCAGGTTTTCCATGGTGGTCTGGCTTCAATTCACTCATGATTTCAACTATATGAACTAATTATCCCAAAAAAATGGCTCCCATAATTTGTAATTTCTTCATCTATATTCGTGTTCTCATCACCAGACATTTCACAAACTGACTCCCCATTAATTTATATTCAGTTCTTACGCAATAATAATTCAAATACATAATAAAAATGACCTACTAAATAGAGTTCATTCAGTTTATTGATAAAACATATTATCCATGTCTCAGAGTATATAACGTGATCACACAAATCACACGTGAATAAATGATGAATAGCTATTTGTTTTGATTTGTCGCTCAATGTTTTCAATTTCATTTTGCATAGCCAATTAACATTGTGCGTTTACAAACATCCATCTTCATCAGCTGCTAATCAAAATATTAAGAATACGAAGTCAACCATCATAAAATAAATTTGTACAAAAACATATTTCATGTAGTTTAATCAAACACATGAAATAGGAAGGTCTATTGAAGAAATTATCAAGTGAATATATGAAAAGCTTCAGCCCAATTTCAATAGACATATTCCGATAAACCAACTCAACAATTTACTTGTGATCATGACTGACTGCAAACATCATTCACTGAAAGTTAGGGTGATCGGTTTACTTGTAATTATGACAGTGACTTTATATCTTGCTGTTGAGTTAAATTTGTTTATCTCTGATCAGTATGTGTTTTACAGGTAAGTATAATCATTATTATGATTCTAAATGTTATTGATATTATAACACCTATATTAAGTGAAGTAGAATTTCACATAGTACATTAGCAATTACTACAATATACTTGATACGTCATTCTAGTATCATGACAAGCGGTCAAACCTTATGCGGTTGATAAATGAGTTACCTAAGAATTAACAATATCGTACAGACCATGACATTCTATCATGCTCATTTTGTGTTAATATCTTGTATATAAGCATATAGCAACTCAGATACAATTGAGTTTGTTTGCATCTAATCCAGTTAAGCCCTTTTGTTAACTTATTTAATGGACAGTCATTCATACAATAACAACCCATCTATACTATTGTACTTTTATTATATACGCTTGAACATTGCTTACTGCCTACGCATATATTCATTCCGCTAGCATTATTATTAATCGCTTATTTGATGCAATGATTCATGCTTTTCCACTTATATATATATGTACTTCTTAATCCTGTTTACTGCACTTGCCCTGCTTGCTCTCTGTTCTGCTCTGTATTACGCTACACCGTACTGTACACGCTTACTCATCCATTCGGCTCTCACACTCACTCGCTTGCTCTACGGCACTACTTTTTCATGCTTGCTTGACGTACCTGTAATATTGGATAACTGTGTGTGGTTCAGTAATAAACACGATCAATCCTTCGTATTCGTCTTCTGATTTATACATCGTTAGGACGTAGTCGAGTAACGGTTATCAAGACGAACAATATACGAAGCTTAAGGATAGTACCGAATATCGACCACCACAAGCATGTTATTTCATAGCATAAGAAACCTGTTCCTTCTGTTAGTAGTTTTTTTTAACTTGATTTCAAAGTAGTTGAGGGTTTAAGACAGTGATATAATCTTATGACCTGTTATAAGTCAGCCATATCTCATATCATTGATAATCATTTACTGATCATCACTTTCTTTTTCATTCCAACAATCGAAATCTTGCTCATCAAATTAACAGAACCCACTAGCACAACAGTAATTCAAGAAGGTTAGATGATTATTTGATTCTACTTTATATGATATTTCGTGGATTTACAGTTGCCAGCACCGTTTTCTGAAAGAAGTAATTCCACCAATAATATTTCACTGCAGATGAACGGCCATGACAATTTTTAATCAGCTTTCTCTGATTAGTTATTCAAAAATTTATTATTTATCTTTATTAAAAAGTTTATAGTGGCTTTAAGATGCTTTATTACTTCGTCTTGTCAAAAGAAATCTTGGCTACATTTTAGCTGAAGTTGTATATCTATCCCGAAACAATTAAATTTTCGTGAAAATTGATCACATTATCAGGTCGTATCTCACAAGACTTTATGCACAGATAACATTACACCGTGTTCCTCTCGGTATGTAGTGTTGTTTCACAATTTACCAAGTTAACTGAAAAGCATCTTATGAGGTTTAATCGCACAACAATCTCGAGTTCTGCTCCGACATTTGTCAGCCAGTAATAAAACCCAACTGGGCAGTAATCAAGACAATCCATCTGATAAATTTAAAAACGTATAGCCATGGAATGCCTATTTTCTTCATATAATGCTTTGTTACATGCACTCCAGTTAAATATATTATAGAAAACATGAACGACACACATCATCCATGGAATATGAATGAAATAGAATTTTCAACAATGATTAAAAGAAGTAGTGTATTGTATAACAACTTAATCTTCTTTCACATTTTCAGCGCTGTCACGGAACAAGGTCTTCCCTACTATACAAAGGAGGAAAGACAACGATATAAAAATATGTGAGTTGACATATTTTGAGAAATGTGCCATATTATTGACAAATGTTGACGCCATACACAGCTACTCATTGCTTTGAGAACTATCGATTCACTAACATAGCAAGTAAAGAGATTGAGGCTTCAAATGATTAGGATCTTATTGAGACTGGTTCACGATTGCATAATGCCAAAATAAACTTTAGGCTTAACGAAGCTAGTGAAAGATACAACAATTATCGTGAGTGTACAGGATGTTTGATGCTTTGAACCACCAAACTCTGAATGAAGACTAGTTCAATACTGTTTGTTAGTTCATACTGAACAAAGCAGTGTAATAAACTTTATTTCTAGTGTGAATTCTTTAGTATTCTGATGAAAGTGATATTAAATGCTGTATCGAAGTTTTTCTGAGTCACACATGTTAAATACTTGTAGAATCGTTAAGTTCTTCTTGTATATGTTAGTCGCATGCGTTATAATAAAGCTGGATTATGTGTGGTCAGTCAGCTAATTTCAATACTGTCTTGTATAAATTGCATTACAGAATTATTACTGTTTCTACTCTTTATAAACAAAGAATATAATTTAGTCAAAATGTAAGGGCTTGCCCAAATAGCTTGTTGTAGCTTCGGAATGGGCCAATTTATTCATATTTTGACCTTCTACCTGAAGTCAGATATAAGGTCACTAAAAATGCGTAATACGGTGTAATCACAACACATGTTCTCATAGGTATCATTAGTGTGAAGTATTCAGTCTTTTGGCCTCATCCAAACATTGAATGCAAATTAATCAATCTTATTGTCCCAATGAGTTTCATACAAATTATCATTAGTATTTCTCAATAACCTATATATTTATTGAAACCCATTACGACACATTCACAGATACAGCAATTCGGAATGAAAACTTGTTAAAAATTGTTTGGTAATATTGTAATTCAATCAACACAACCATATGCTAAATTTAAATATACCCTTGTGATACAATTAGATTTCACTGAAAGCTATTTCATTTATGTCAATGCGTTTCAATACAGATCAGATTTGGATAAACATAAATTGAAGTTGGCTCAGAAAAAAGCCGCAACTCTTGAAGCGGCTTCAAACTCAGTTCGTATAACAATTGGATTGATTACCACTTTATTAGTGGGTTATTTGTCTGATCGATATGGTCGTCGAGCAGCGTTTGGAATTTTAATAATCGGTGAAATTTTGCATATTGGTATAACTGGTAAGTAATATACACCTTTTATACTACGTAATTATCTGCCTTACATCAGAGTATTTAAATAGAAAAAATCGTACAGAATGTTAGGAATGACGTCTCTTATTTGATCAGGTCTAAGTTTATGTGACAAATCAATCTCACTCTTGTTTAATATAGTAAACGCATACTCAAATTACTAAGGTCTGAAATCACAATTGTTTTGTGATGATATACTCAGTTTGTTTTGAATAATCCTACTGCTAAATCCATTTTGAGTTTTAATAAAGTAAGTTTATTTGTTTTGTACATTAGATTTATCTATTAAATTTAAAGAAAACATAAGCAAAAACATTTATAAAGTGTTCAATATTAGATTATGTCATGTTTATGCAATCACACTTTACTCACCTGTTTCAAACATACACCTTGAATTCATCAAACAAGTTTATGTTAATTCTTCTTTTTCCTAGTAACAATATGGTTTCTAGTTTAAGTGTATTTGTAGCTAATTGGAGGACTTGAAATAAGATTGATATATATTTCCTTTTACAAATAATAGCTTTCATTTGGTCAACATACTTACTTATTTACGCCTGTTACCCCTCGTGGAAAAGCATAGGCATCCCACTAGTATACTTTATCAACATACTGGCATGATAATACTCGTTCATTGTTATATGAGATATTTGTCAACTTCCATTCTAATCAGTTGAACGCAACGACAATAATTTGTTACCGATTCACAGTGTTTTATCATGAAACGTATACTGACCCTTGGATTTCCATATTATGTAAGTGAGAACCCAATATTGTGAATGAGAACATAGGCGAGGACAACCAAACGTATTTCAGCGCTATATAACAAAGTATTTTGGTAAAATTTAAGATCCATACAGTCGACATTTCATTTGCATGATATGAATCAATTGTCTCAGAATTGATTGTTCCTTCGTTTCCACGCTAATGACTCTTTATTCTAAATATCTACTCTTCGATCTTCTTAACCTTCTGTCATCAGGCATTGCACTTCCGGTTGGTGATACATAATATTTATATCTGTCGACATCAATCACACACACCACACACTAAGATATGACATAAAATTATTTACGAATCGCTCATTTCATATAACATTTTAATAAAGTTTAAAATTCACTGAAATTAATCTTGTTTCGAATCAATTGTAATGTAAACGACCTCAATCTATATTCAATTACCATGAAGTAATTCAAGCCTTCAATTTTTTATTGATTCAGGTCTTATTGTGTTGTTGAAGCTGAATTTGTGGCTGATTTTAATCCCCGGACTTTTGGAAGCGATTTTTGGTGGTGGTCTTTTGTCACTCTTTGCTCAGGTTGCCACTATCCAGGTAGACGTTTGTCATCTATCCAAGATGCATTCAACGGAAAAAACAGATGGAAAAAATGTAAAGTCCTCTGATAAACAAATGTGGATATTATTTACAATTTTTGACGGAATAGCTGCATTATGTGTATCAGCAGGATCACCGATTGGAGGTTAATTGATAAATGTTTTAAAAATTTTATATTCATAATTTAATAAAAGGTTGTATATCTTTAAAGGTAAATTAGATCTTAGCAAAACTTTGAAGTATCTTGGCCGCATTATATCGTCTCATCTGAATGGTTTCATTAAGAAGATTTCAATATCATTCTAGACAAAATTATCAACTCTTACTTCATTGGATATGTGAACACTGCATGAACATTAGCACTTGTCTGAATTAGAGATTTTCGCCTTTATTTCAATGAGATACTTTATAGACACTGACAGTATCTCGGACATTATTTCTAGTGTGATTCATCTTCTGTTCTAAACATTAGCTGAACGGATTCCAATTGATTTTGTTCCCATACAATAAGGATTTTCCTAGTAAAAACACTGTAAAGTCTTTTCAAACAGATTCACATGAAAAGACGACTCAAGTACTTGACATTCTATCCACCAGTTCATATACAAAATTACTAATATTATTTCTGGTGGAAATCATTTTCCAATTAAATACGCATAACTTCAATTATTGCGCGTTCAGTTTCGTTCGACTGAAATCCATTATCTTTCAAAGTAACTAAAGTACATCGTAAACAGTGTACAGTTTATATATGTGTAATTATCAATTTAAAATTTAAATCGCCTGAAATAAAGTGTTTTTTTCATTCCACTTACTAGGAGCTTTAATATACCACTATGGATTTCAAGTAGCCATGTTCACATCATTAGGTTTACTCGTTCCAAGCTTAATTTTAATATTCTGTTTACCCGAGACGCACAAAAACAGAAGCAAAATAATTGCTTTACCGGACAAACAGCCTATTGATGAAGAAAAGAATGATGATCTAAATGATGATACTCGTAGCATTCAAATGGAATTTGAAAAGACGTTGACAAGCAAAGTTACAGAAGCATTTCAAGTTAGTAGATTGACATTTATTTTTTTACCTATAATGTTTCTTTTCTCTTGTTAAACTATCACTACAATTATATTCCTATGATGTTTTAAAGATAAAATGTATGGAAATTCAGAAATGGTCACGTAATATATTTCTGATAATATGGGTTAGCAAACTATCTATATACAACACCATGAGCATGTTCACAATTTATTTAATTAAGATCCAAATCCACTAGTGAACTCATTAGATGTTTTGTGGAATAGTGTTTGAGATTTTCCAATAAAAGTGGACTCTCATCAATAGCTTTAAATTAGTTCAAGTGGAAGACCGAATTCACCGTGGACTGATAGATGGAGGGATATCTCTACAAACTGAGCGATAATGATCATCATATTGGTCTTCATTTAATTCCAATCAACAAGGGATATTCAATATCACTCAATACACGGAACCTGTGACTATGATTGAGTTATGTCACAACCTGAATGCAGTAGGTAATGTGACGTACTAGAGTCGAACACAATGCATTGAAAACATAGAACTGGAACACAGAATTAGAGACACAGATTTTCATCTCAAGTGTTGTTGAGTGCATTCACCTCTGTAAAGTAACATACTACAACGACAAAGTATTCCATTGTTCACACACCTTCATTTCTTTTTCCGGATAATGTCAATTTCCATGAAAAATTAGTTTAACCAAACTTGAGAAAAGCGAAAACTGTTACATAATTTGTCACACGTCACTAATCCTTCCGTGATATAATGCAGGAATGAACATTTCATATTGAAAAGACAGCTGACTTGATAGTTGTATTAGCACACTATCTCACGGCGTGTGCTGTAGATTGATAATAACTGTAACAGTAATTGCAATTAAAATAAACGTCGTAATAACTTCTCAAAACTATTTTCAAATGTTTCTGTGTCAGTCATGTCATATCATGCAAAACTGATAACCATGAGTTGCATAATAAATCGGAAATTTCATGACCTTTCACCTTAATCTGTTTATCAATTAATTACTGAATCAACAAAATCATTTGAAGCATGTAAACAGAAACCAGATAAGTTACCATCATCTGATAAAGGTCAATGGATTTCAAAAGAAAAATCATGTCTGTTTTGAACATAAACATCTAGTAACATTTTCATCGGAAATCAGTTTATAATGACAATCTCACTTATCTGAATATGAAAAAGATGTAATCAATCATTCTATATCACACATTCACCAAATACTAAACTTACCTAAATCACTAGTCGACACGGGATACATGATCTCACAAGAACAATCAGTCTTACAATTTCAAACCTTGTTTATTTTTCAGCGTGTGAAAACTTTAGATCCTGTCGTGACTATGATTTTGTCAATGGTCCTACTTGGTTCAGTGTCAGCTTTGGCGGACTTACAGTATGTTGCTGTTTATTTAATGGGTCCTCCATTCTTGTGGAGTCCGGAAACAGTTGGACTATATTCGTAAGTATATCACTTCAAATTCAAGTCGTATGATATATTTTATCATTTTATTTCAGCGGTTTTACTATACTTTCTTCCTCCCAAAAAGCAAACACTTCTCAGTCAAATATGAAATTATTTAAACAATTGTTTTTCAGCAGGAACGAAAAACCTAAATACAATCAGTCATATCGATTGATGCACACAACTCAAACTCCCAAGTCAATTTAGTTTCACTAGGTATTATAAGAAAACTGTTTATATTATTATAATACGCAAATTTTCATGGTTGAAATCATGAGTCAGTTGAAGCTAGACTAGCATGGACAACCTGGAAGCACTGGACGGCCGTTTCGTCCTATTATGGGACTCCTAAGCAGTGCTCATCTACGATCTCGCCTCGCGAGATTCAAACCCAGGACCTAGCAATCTCGCGCCAGAGCACTTACCCGAATATAATACACAAATTTGCAACTAGTAGTCAGACATAATATTTGCATGAAATTTCCATTGTTGTGAGAATTAAGTGGTCGTTTATTTCTATCTCCTACACTCCCAATTGTATATGGGATTGACAAGAGTAATACTACTTATTAAGTATCAGACACTGTTGTCAGGCAACAATATTTTGAATGGAATATTTGTTTATTTGATTTTGCCACTTCACTAGAAATCGCTTCAAACTACACAGCGTAATACAAGAACAGTTGCAGGAACAACATACGTCTATCCAAACTTCAAAATTCACATTTCGAGGGGGTAATCAATACTGGTTTATGCGATGTCTGTGAAATATATCAACACACACGTTCAGCGGTCACATGATTAGAATTCACCAAACATTAAAACAAATTTGATAATCATTCTTCTATAACTCTGGAATATTTCACACTGTATTTAGTGCACGAATTTCCAGTCAACTGATATGTTATGCTACGAAGCGTCAACAATTCATGCATTTCTCATACCGAGTTTCACACACATTCGTCAAACATCTCAATGTTAATTTCAAACAAATTGTTTGATATAGGACGAATGATGAGAAACACCTCTGAAATGTTGATTATTTGCTTTCTAATAACTAATAATACATCCATTGAACAACATTTCAACTGATTAACAAGTACATGATTATGTTATCAGCATCAAATCATAGTGTGTACATGAGAACAAGTCGACCTACACAATCCACTAAACATGATTATGTGTAACCGAATTCTATCCTCTCACCGATTCGATGAATTTCAAATTATTCAATCACTAAACAACCACAATCAAGCTTCAGCTTTCACTCTGTGTAGGATTTAATTTGTCCTACGAATATACTACTAGAACTTCAAACGCGATACTGGCGATCACAGAGTCTATGTGAAAGCTTTCGTCAAAACAAGGAAAACTTGGCATTAAACTTCATCTGTTTCGAAACATAAAATGAATCAGATTAGTACAATAATTATAAGAGAATTACAGTGATTAAGTGAAATGCACAAACAAACCGACAGCTATTGCATGTCTTGTCGAAATGAATAAATAATATGAGTCACACTAATATAATGGAATAATAAAGTCTTCGAATTGGTAGGTCACATGCAACAGTGATAATTCAATTACACATCAGATCAGATTATAGTGGCGGGAGCTTAAGCAACGATTTGATTAGTTAGTAATGGACATAAATAACACTGTGAAATAGTATGATTGATCATGCTACCAATTTCCATTTGGACTAAACATCATTCAGGCTCTCTCCAATACACATATCACTGTCATATGCTGTGGTGCCATTTTACATGTATCAAAAGCACTAACAGACCAGATATTTGTATGTTAGGTGTACATGGATTCTTAGGAGAAAATATGCTTTCCATTGGATTGAACCACACATCATCAAGTATCACAAAAGCAGAAATATCACACTACAAGTGAGCAGCTGAAGCATCAGATAATAATAATAATAATAATAATAATAATAATAATAATAATAATAATAATTTCGTCCTCATATTTCAATCTTTTTCATTTCTTCAATACTCTGTAGTGGCGTAACTGATGTGACAGCAGCTCTTCTCTCAGTCATCTGTACTGTTTTGATCATCAAATGTGACGAAAAGCGAAAAGCAAAAGCTCTCACAGAACAAAATGCCACAAAACACAGTCAAGCAAATCTTTATACACGTCAAATGAATTTACTTATTACAGTTTTCGCTGTATCAATCATAATGTTAATGGTGAATCGTTCAGTGGTCGGAGTAGCTTATCGATTTCAACTACCAACTGCGAATATTCTAATTTATATCGGTAAATGTTTGGTGCTTTGAATTTTATCATGAATAAATACATCTATCAATCACTCGAACCCAATTAAACACGACTGAAATGATGATAGTTGTTATTGTTTTACTAATGAATTGGATATAATTATAATTAAATCAGTCATATTAATTTATGTATCTACTGTTCTTACATTGCAAACTCAGTCACAAACTAATTGTGTCAATTGTGTTTAATGTATGTTGAACTGATTTAGTATTTATGGCTTTACACGTGAGATTGAGTGTGCAATACTTCTCACGAATTCCTTGTACAGGCCGTTCATATGCTTGAAATAATATAAACACTAAGATGAATTTACAACCATCTGATAAATCGACATGAAAGACTAGACACGAGTCTTCCTCCATTATTCGTGATAAGTTCATAACTTTGTATAGAGTGATAGATGAAGTTATTTAGAGAGTTGGAAATCCACGAAGCCAATGCTTCATCTATTCATTTCTCTCACAGTTTATCTGTTCATACGAATGCAAGATATATATTAGTATATATCCATCTTCACTATGTATTCAGCTGTTCAATATAAATTTGTTAGTCGGAATGTAATTTATCTAGTCATCAGAATCCATATTTCGTTCATCACTCTCACTATAAACAATGCATTTCGATAGCCACCATATTCTCCATGAATCACATTACACTTCAAGTATGGTCTCATCAGCGTGCACTTAACATTCTAAATAAACCATAACACTGCACATCGGTTTCCGGTGACTAATATCAGTTGTTGATTGATCTGTTGTTCATCTAGGTAGTTTTGGAAGAAATATCATAAATTAAATAAGAAGTTACACTGAAACAGAATCATCCACCATCATTTCTAGTATCAATCATGTCCTCATCTGAATAATGCAGGTCGCACCAATATAACAGTAGACAAATTAATTAGCATAATAATTTCCAGATTTACACTAGATAATGTGAACACACACATTCAGATGAATTGCTCCAAGATGTTTGGATCGTTTATCTAAATTAAGAATACGTCATATTTGCTAGGATGATTGTTAGAAATATGTTGACTGTCTTGACAGTTTCTAAAGTTGATTATAATAACACACAACCACTGAAAAAACTCGACCATTAAACAACTGTTCCATTCAATGTTTTAGAGCATTAACCATGGTGCACTCACGAAGACAGTCTGCACGAGACGTGGGGATTTCAAATTTTTTGTTGAACAGAATATCACTGATCAGCTAGGTCAAACTCTAATAATCTTTATTTTCAACGTGATTCTTCAATCAACAACTGTTATATGACCTTCTCACAACCAATCTGACAATGTATAAGTACAAATGAGTTGCCAATATTTATTTCTAATCCTCGATATTCCAGTTTCATGAGCAGTCTTGTCGTCTCTCTAGGTTGATTAAGTAGGTTTTAGGAACTCTCACACAGTAGTCGAATCAAACTTCACTTCATTACAAAACTCTGAGTGTTCGTGTTTTATGTTTTGTACTCAACCAACACAGAACTCTTGATTCCCAATTCTACTGATTTGCTGAGATTGAACGGATAATCGTGGGTCGAATTGATGAAGCGATTGATGTTTTACATGACTCTGTTGTAAACACTATTTTGTACAGTCGATGGAAATAAATATTTATTATATGTTGTAGGTAGGCATTAGAAGTTTGTCGTCGAGCATTACCCATAAATGTGAGTCGAATAATTCAGTTAATTCCTGAGACTTATCTTGAATAAACAATCGTTGAAACCAGCAATCACTAGATTTCTGCATCATTCGATTATAGGAAACATCAATTGTGCACATTCACATCACTTCTAAATATGTATCCAATGTCCTTCATGTGCTTAACCTCTAGACCACTGGCTTAGCATCCTGTTATTTTATTGTCTAAAGTCAAATGTGTTGAACATCAGTCTTGCACGTAAATTATAAAATTTAAAATGTATAAACTGTTATTAGAATTTAATATTTTTCAAAAATTTTAGCTTCCATTCCAAGATTGACGAAAAGCTTTCTTGTTCCAATAATTCGAACAATGCTTTCCATTAGTATCCACTCAAGTAAACAAGGTAAAAATTTATTCCAACTATTTTGATTTATTTACATAGTTCAAGTAGAAAATTCATTATTGAACGTGATTTTAGTGAAATGAGATTAAACAGCAGAAGTTGATCCACACAGTAAATTTTCACCTGTGAAATATGAACCAAAGTTGATGATTGATTTCAAACTTAAAATATGAAGACAGAATATGATAGATGCTCATCAATAGCTTTTCATTATATATAGAATTTACGGAAGATAACTAGGTGCACAGAAATTCTTTCATTGAGCTATTGAATATAATTTTTATATGATAAAATACATTCACTTATTTTACATTTCAGGTTTTATGCAATCGATTGCCGCATTTGTTTCTCGAATCGGTCTTCTCATCAGTTTTACAGCACTGCCTGCAATATATGCTGGAACCGTACTGACGTTTCCAGGAACAGTATTCATCATTGTTGTCATAATAATGTTAATAACACTCATTATTGACTTGTAAGTAGTTTGAAAAAAATGTGAATTTCCCTCTATAAAATAAGAATTGGTGTAATAAACACTCACACAATTGAAGAGTAAACAATATTTGTCATAATATATAAACTAATGGGATTAAAATGTTTCCAAAGTATAAAAGTTTGTTGTGTTGAACGTTCAGGGTATGTTTATTGTTCAATACGAAATAAACCATTTATTAATGCACATACATTCATTTGGGAAAATCAGCTTTCTTACCATCATTTAAAGTTTGAAAATGGAGACAACTAGATTTAAACTTAGTGGTTGGATGATACGTAGTTTATCGCATGAGATCAAGGTTATCTACTCGACTTTGTGTGTTTTAATTGGTGCTAACTTCGGGAACTGCTATTACGAAGAAACGACCATCGTGTGGTGGCTCGTTTTCAGTAGCCGATACAGAAAAATCGCTAGATAAAACTATTCATCGGTAGACCATCTGACATAGATGCTTCCAAAGTATTAAGATGTTGGAAAAGCATAAGAAGAGAATACGAGACGTAATAGAATCTATGTTCAGAATGTGAATCAAAGACTGATTAAAATACTTCATGTTATCGAACCCAACAACCAGATGAAACAATCTCATCATTCAGTAGTCCTAGTAGTTAATAAAATGACGTAGGATTTTTGGAAATGGTTCAATCTTGAAACAGGTCAAGAACAACAAGGTTAACAGAATAAAATGAATTCACTCTATATCACAGTTTCTCATCTGTTGCATACAACCTCAAATTACAATTCCTAACATAGATATCATTATAATAATATCATATAATACACTTTGTATACCCATTCTTCTGATTATTATAATTTTGATTACGTTTCGAACATTTAGCTAAAGTTTACAAACTAAAGTATACTAAACATTTGTCAATAATTACATTTATATGAGTAATTGTAATTTGAGATTGTATACAACTGATGAGAAACTGTGAAATATAGTGAATTCACTTTGTTCTGTAAACCTTGTTGTTTTTACTATGTTTAAATTAATCAAGGGATCTGATTGTATGAAGTTTCCATCTTTATCGACAGATGCTTAAATGTCACATAAAGTTTTCAATGGAAGGAACTTTCAATTACGTAATTATTAAATAATTTATCCTAAGTGGTAGTAACATTGACAATCTACTAAGAGTTGACAAAGCGACGAGTGGTAGTAGCTTAGCTGGTCTAAAAAGAAAACGTTCAACCATGAACATAAATTAACCTTGCACACTTAGACGATGCACATTTTAAGATGAAATGACGTGTATATTTGTTTGTGAACAGACAAGTCATCTAGTACCACTTGTAGGCCTTCACCAAACACTTATGTTCATTAGTAGTATTATCATAAAGTTATAAAAATATAGTCTTTTAAGATGGTTCTCATAATCGAATGAAATTACCAAGACGTCCATCGGTAACCAGTGGTCAATGAACATTTATACTAGTTTGAAAGCCATTCAACCGTGTGCACCGATCAACTAACCTGGAACCGGAACCACTAACTCAAAAACCAGCAACAAGTGAGTTAGTTTGAGATCATACATTTTATATCTATTAATTCTTACTTTCAACTTCAGTTAGCTAGTGACACTAGCTAACAATCATCTATTGCTGTCGAGTATACCAATATCCTTCACTCTGAATATAGTTAATTTCTTTAAATTACTTTTTGCCACTGGAACTTGGCGAATTCACTTCAAACTTAGTCATCACCAGTAAGATAATGACCATTATTGTAACAGGATGTTTGTTAATATCATTATTACCTTGTTAACTAAATATTCAATACATATATAAGTTGAAAGCATGAATCAATTGAAGCTAGACCATCAAGGAAAATCTGGAAGCACTGGACGGCCGTTTCGTCCCATTGTGATACTCTTCAGAAGTGCGCATTCACTACCTCGCCTCGCGAGATCCGAACACAAGACCTACCAGTCTCTCACCATCCAGTGCTTCTAGGTTTTTCTTGGTCGTCTGGCTTCACTTGATTCATGCTTTCAACTATGAAAATATTAAAATCTCCACAAAAACTCCTTCTGACATGTATGAGTATTAATTTTATTACATTCTTGTACAAATAGAGTATTACCATTGGTGATGAAGAAGCAAAATTCCAAATTGAAAGATGATGATGAATTAAACAATCTTCATAATGTAAAAGAAGTAGAAGAAGGTGAAGAGACAAAATCAGATAATATTCCTAATTATTTCGGAGATGCGTTTTGATCATTTCTTATTTCATCTATTCATTTCAAAAAAAGTGTATAACAGAAAACTTACCTTAAGTATTATTTCCAAAAGAAAAGATAATTCTACTGAATCGCCTACAAAAATTGTAATAAAAAATTTTTTTCTATGATTTTATCTTTCTAAAAGTGAAAAATTTGTTTGATGTTGCAAATATGATTGTCAAATAGTTGAAATGTTTGTCAGTTCACTATGAAGATATGATATTGATTTTGTCATATAACATTGAAATGTAGCCATTTCAATGAAATAATCATTACAGGTTGTCTTGGTGATAAATAGTTTTTATGAATCAAGCTTTCAATATTGTAATTCATCAATAACATATTCGAAGCTTATGAAAACCATAATTCCTGTGAAAGTCGATGTAATGTTATTTTAAGTTAAAAAATAGCTTTCCTACATATTGATTTCACTTTGACTATCTAAAGATTGAAGTGCTATACAATGCCGTTTTCTCTTTTTACGTTACTTAACACGTTGTTCTTGTGAATTAATATTTCATTTGAACCCATACTTAGTTTGTCATGAGTCGATATTTCATAACTGGAGATTTAAACTCGTTGATTAAGATGTTCCTAGTCTTCTTATGCCAGTCAACTAACCCAATGAAAACGATGCAGCTTTACTGTGCTGTGTGTAGTTACTGATAATTGTTTGTAAAATGATTCTTGGCATTTTGTTTATATTCAGTGGAGGCCATTTACTCCTATTCTTATGTATTTACATGCTTGTTTGTTGGCAGATGTGGGAGAATGTCTTGGACAGATATAAGAATTCTTTTGTCATTAGCAACAGTCAATAAAAACACTTAATCCTGTAAAATACTCAGTCGCCATTATTTAAATGATAGCGTGCATGAAGAATATCAGATGCTCACTGGCCAAATATCCATCTTTCATAACGAAATCAATGGACGGGTTTACTGCGCAGCAGTTCGTTCCGTCCTACTTTACGGTAGTGAAACATGGCTGATAAGAGTAGAGGATATTCGTAGGCTGATAGTATTCGATCATAGGTGTCTTCGAAGCATTGCTCGTATATCCTGGGACCACCGAGTAAGTAATGCAGTTGTTAGGAAACGGGTACTAGATAAGGGTGGCAAATCGATTGATGAAGTAATGGAACTTCATCAGTTGAGATGGCTTGGATACGTGTTACGTATGCCCAACCACCGACTGTCCCGACGTGCGATGTTTTATGGTGTAGGGGTAGGTTGGCAGAAAGCTAGGGGTGGCCAGACCAAAACGTGGCATAAATCCATGAAGTCACTGACAAGTGGACTGAGCCATTTTGGTAAGTGTAGACTACGTGGTTGGGATTCGCGAGATGATAGCAATTGATGGTTAGAGTCGTTGAATGACATAGCTCAAAATCGTTTGCAATGGCGAAGGTGCATCCACTCTTTGTGTTCTCCCAAACTCTAATCTTCTGAATTCTTCATGTCCCTATCTTTTTTCTGTTTCAAAATTTATTTCACGGGATTATACTCCTTGAATAACATCTTCGAGCCCCAATCTTTTGGATTACTACTTATACTCTTACTACTTCAGTCACTATGAGATTTGAATCGACAACTACATCTCTGTGTTAATTTGGTATGGCAACTCTAACTGATGTGCGTACGAAGTTCTACGTTGTGACTGACTGACGGCCTCAAAAAGAAACTTCTCTATCGACACTCAACAATGATACTATTTCCCAACCTGAAGGCAGCATTAAACCCAGTCCATCTATAGGTCTTATGGTCGTGTTTGTCATTGAAAGGCGTACTGAGGAAGCGAATTAACTTTGTGCAGGTTCTCTACTCTAATACTACTGGTCAAGTCATGTCTCATGATGAATTGTGATCAGGATTGATCATACCAAGTGGTGCTTATAGGGGCTGTCCACTTTCAGTAGTTTTGTTCAACTTTGTCATAGACATTCTTCTAAGGATAACACTTTCATCACCTGACGTTCAGGACATGATGTTATACCAGGAGATCCACTGTTGACTTAAAATACATAGATGATATAGTCCAGTTTGGCGAAGACGCTGAAAGAATTCAGAGTCTTCCGGACATCCCGAGCAACAATGAAACCATATCTGGAACGTGCTTCTTCCTATATATGTAAAGTATTTATTCAGAGCTGGTCTACACCAGCGCCTGAAGAAATAACAAAGAATGAAGTAGTAAGGCGTGTCAACCACACCACTTATCTCAGAATCCAAGTCATTCTTGATGGGTTGATGTCTGAAGAAATCTTAACATGAGATCAGAAACCTGGACTAGCATTTCCAATTCACATCAATAGTGGTGTCGGCGAAATGTCCGTCTGGCACCCAAAGGACGGTACTACTGTCCGGAAGTTTATTATGTTCTTCACTGTGGTTGTGAAAAATCACACTTGAAAGTAGAGCATTTTTTATGAGTCACTAGTACTCTAGAGTGGGTACCTTTGAAGCATCACTGACAGGTGTTCAAATCACGGAGTGGACAGTACTGAGACTAAGCATAAGGTACTAGAGAAAGGATGAGAAATCTGTTAGTAAATCATTGAATCCCCATCGACTGAGGTGGTTAGGATATGTATTACGTTTGTCTGGCGGCTACATAGTTCGATGGACGATGTTTGCTGGTTTAGGATTAGTTAAGATGTCAAACAAAAACATGGAATTTTTTCATGAAGTCACTGATATTCCGACTGTTTCGTTCTGGTAGGTACTGACCATCTGGTTTGGGTCCGTATGGTTATCAAAAGTTTGAGATATTGCTGGTCATGGGTTATAATCGGTCACAACTGTAGATATACATACAATTTTCGACCTTTCTTAGATCCCGGGTTTGAAAACTATTTTTTATTTTTTATTCCGTATGTTCATTCCTGCACTCGAAATCAAATTTTTTATCTCTACCATCATAAGACCGTTAATTCCTGTACTAATCTGGATTGGGTATTGACTAATTTATCTCAGTGTGATATCCTGTTATGTAATTTTAGAAACTGTTAAGACAGTCAACATATTTCTAACAATCATCCTAGCAAATATGACGTATTCTTAATTTAGATAAACGATCCAAACATCTTGGAGCAATTCATCTGAATGTGTGTGTTCACATTATCTAGTGTAAATCTGGAAATTATTATGCTAATTAATTTGTCTACTGTTATATTGGTGCGACCTGCATTATTCAGATGAGGACATGATTGATACTAGAAATGATGGTGGATGATTCTGTTTCAGTGTAACTTCTTATTTAATTTATGATATTTCTTCCAAAACTACCTAGATGAACAACAGATCAATCAACAACTGATATTAGTCACCGGAAACCGATGTGCAGTGTTATGGTTTATTTAGAATGTTAAGTGCACGCTGATGAGACCATACTTGAAGTGTAATGTGATTCATGGAGAATATGGTGGCTATCGAAATGCATTGTTTATAGTGAGAGTGATGAACGAAATATGGATTCTGATGACTAGATAAATTACATTCCGACTAACAAATTTATATTGAACAGCTGAATACATAGTGAAGATGGATATATACTAATATATATCTTGCATTCGTATGAACAGATAAACTGTGAGAGAAATGAATAGATGAAGCATTGGCTTCGTGGATTTCCAACTCTCTAAATAACTTCATCTATCACTCTATACAAAGTTATGAACTTATCACGAATAATGGAGGAAGACTCGTGTCTAGTCTTTCATGTCGATTTATCAGATGGTTGTAAATTCATCTTAGTGTTTATATTATTTCAAGCATATGAACGGCCTGTACAAGGAATTCGTGAGAAGTATTGCACACTCAATCTCACGTGTAAAGCCATAAATACTAAATCAGTTCAACATACATTAAACACAATTGACACAATTAGTTTGTGACTGAGTTTGCAATGTAAGAACAGTAGATACATAAATTAATATGACTGATTTAATTATAATTATATCCAATTCATTAGTAAAACAATAACAACTATCATCATTTCAGTCGTGTTTAATTGGGTTCGAGTGATTGATAGATGTATTTATTCATGATAAAATTCAAAGCACCAAACATTTACCGATATAAATTAGAATATTCGCAGTTGGTAGTTGAAATCGATAAGCTACTCCGACCACTGAACGATTCACCATTAACATTATGATTGATACAGCGAAAACTGTAATAAGTAAATTCATTTGACGTGTATAAAGATTTGCTTGACTGTGTTTTGTGGCATTTTGTTCTGTGAGAGCTTTTGCTTTTCGCTTTTCGTCACATTTGATGATCAAAACAGTACAGATGACTGAGAGAAGAGCTGCTGTCACATCAGTTACGCCACTACAGAGTATTGAAGAAATGAAAAAGATTGAAATATGAGGACGAAATTATTATTATTATTATTATTATTATTATTATTATTATCTGATGCTTCAGCTGCTCACTTGTAGTGTGATATTTCTGCTTTTGTGATACTTGATGATGATACAATAAAGTTTATCGCACTCTTCTGATTCATTTGCCTATTAAGTAATTACTTATTTACCTGGTCTGCCATTCCAATATTATTCAACTAGTAATCTAAGTTATATATTGTGTTTGTTCAGATAGTTTGTGGTCAACGTACGAGTTAGTTTTGTAAGAGGATGTGGGGAGTAGTGTAACGTCGTGTACTATATTACACCTACATAGCTTATTCTAGTTTCTGGACAAGCCTATTCACCTGTAACGTTATGAGTCATATTTTGATCTTGTTAATTATTCCCTTAGTGACCTTGACTATTTTTTATATGAGCGTATGTGTATGCACACTTCTTATCCTACCTATCACATGTTTGTCATTCATTTTAGTCTGACTATAAATGTTGATTAATGCTTGCTTATAACGAGTTGGCTTCCCAGCCATCTCCACTCTGCGTCATCTTTCCTTCGCTTGCTTACATTTGCTAATGTGCTCACTGCCTTCTAGCCCATGTTAGTTATCAATAAAAATGTAGTTGCTGCTTCCCTTTGTCTTCTGATATTATACACCGTTAGTATGCATTGTGAGACGAAAGGTTTTGCAGATATCTTGGTGATTTGTGAAGTAATTATAATTATATTACGGGGTAATGTAGCTGGTCCTAAAGTTGTTAATATATACGCCTGTATAAGATGAAATAGTGGCATGTTACCACCACACCTTTTGAGGAATATAGTAAGGATACTTTCAGCTTCTATATTTGTTGTGCCTTTAAAACCTTTTACAGCTTCAGATGTACTCTGAGCACTGAAATAAACATTTAAACACCCACAGGATGTAAGTTTCACATTTTCGAGTTCGGTAAGTTTCCCTTCCAAAATGTTAGTGAAAGAACAATAAAACTTTTCGGACATATTCATAAGGTAATTATAGGTTATGTCGTTTTGGATAAGAAATGGAATATCGTTTCGTCTTCATATGCCCTTAATCAAAATAGATTGGAGGTTATTTGTTTCAGTGCTACTGTGGTGTGGTCTACTTATATCCATATAAGTAGTATATGGTGTGGGTCAGGCATAGAATGTATTTTGGCAGAAGACCGATGAGGAAAGAACTGAAATGAAGCGCAATCGTTTGGAAAATGCATGAGCAGTGGAATTAGAGAAGAAACAGTGAAGATTGAAACAATTGGTTGTTAATTTGCAAATTAACTGTTCACTGTTTGGTTTTCAGAATTTGCTGAGATAGTCTGTAATTTTGCTTAAATACATTCGATTGTCCCCAGTCGTGTTCTGTTCACTACACTACTTCCAAGTGTCAAGCTACTGATTAGTTTCATTACGACAACGTAATACCCTTGCAGATTTGTCAGTTTCATACATCGGGTGCAAGAATTAATGGTCTTCCAAAGTGTAGAGTTGTAAAGAAACTTTGATAAAGTTGAAATTCATATCCTAAGCGTACGTTTCCTTTCTATTCTAGAAAGAGAGATGAATTATTCACTAGCTCTGATAGTATTTTGTGTGTAAATGATTTTATTATCATTCCTTCATCACATTGAGGATCTTCATTGTGGATATTCGGGTGCTCAAAATATAAAATCGTTGTGGAAGCTCGAATTTTGGTGACGAGAGATAAATGCAGGGATACCTTGCATGACAGTTAACTGAGAAGAGCATGATAAATCGAAAGTCATCTCTCGAGATGGCTTTATATTCAGTACAGTCTAAGACTTGACAGAGAATTAATGCAGACTCCTGTCATCTATTAACTTGGAGCCTTACTGGGACAGCAAGAAGAGTCTATAGTGGCATTGAACCTTAACCACACGACCTTTGAAGCTAGGCATATATTTACTGATATGGTTTATATTCAGTAAAGGTTAACAATGATACAATTTATCGAATGACAAGGCTCGGCTTTGCAGGCATGGTAATTCTCATATATCATCATTTTTATGTTACGTATATTGTTATATGTTCAACCTAAATGTGTTCTTCATCATATAATGGTGACTGTTAATATACGATGAGTCAGTGTAGACAATGATGTGAATTCCAAGTAAAATCTTATGGAGTAGGCAGTTACATCATGAGAAATCCACAAATTTAGGATTAGGTCTATTATTAGAGCAGTACTAACAACGAAGTAGACTGAAGATTTAACTAGTATTCTGATTTCACAACCTGCTACCAGTAGCACCTTCTGTATACGAAGATTTCCCCCGATCAATGGAAATCAGAAGTCAGACGAGAAGTGGTAGTAAAGATATATTTGATACGTTGTCAATATATCTCGAAGCGTTTATTCTAAGCTGCCTAGTGAACGTAGGAGCAGTGTCCCACGCTGAATTGAAACGTGATCTGGTGCGGATGCATGACCGAAAGCCTTCAGTTAAACAAGTCCACTAAGACAACGTGGTCAACATCCAATGTCGAACACTTAATGAGCTATTGATTTTGAGGAATTATTTACAGCTACAAGTCCATAATTCTACAAGAGCAAGAAGAAGTCAGTCACTATTCATAAACTTGTGACAAAGATATTGGAAATACTAATCGCCCTGGGTTCACCGAATTGTAACTTCACAACCCAAGCAATAAGAAACGTTTTCGGTCTGTAAGGGGTTTCTGTGGTATTCGTAACTCCTAATAACCTTCATTTGGTGCAGGTTCACGCAGGTACTACGCAGTTGAATATTAAGAGGTGTAAACATATCTCCACGATTCCCAGAAAGCCTGGTTCTAATGATCAGGCAAAAAATTTTGTCAGGACATCAAGTACTGTTATTACTCATTTTCTACTTCAACATTTGATAATTGGAGACGAGAGTAGATACTTTTCTAGTGCGATGTAAAAATGCTAAACATTCTGCAACGAATGACACTCACCAATGTTATTAAAAGGAAGGGTGCTTCATAAGAATAATAGGTGTCTGGAACCTGCTGAGGGTAATTATCAACGAGTGGATGATCTCTGACTATCAAGGGGATTGTTGTGAAGATTGTTTAAAAATGTATAATTTGAAATTTAAGTACCAGTGAGTTAGGTTAACACAACCGACATGTCGATAAAATACAATTTCAAGAAATTGGGTGCGTTTATTCTGGTTTCTGTTGTTAGTTCCGGTGCCAATGAGTACATTCTATATCAAACAGAGTCTATATCTAATACACTGTCTGAGAGACTAATGAGTGACTAATAAGTTTTTTGACAGTCCAATACATTGCAACTAGGTAACTATTTTGCACGGTAATGGGTAACTTCGATTCCAATAATTCCAATATTCTAGAGCAAATGAAGTTGTTGTGGTGGACCAAAACGTATGATAACAAAAATTAGCAACAAAATATTACGTCTAAAGTTTATATAACCATTAACAGTTAATAAGTTAATTACACACAGATAAAGAAAATAAGGGACGTTACTTAACTCTTCAGGCTATTGCGTGTTCAGTTGAGTTTGGTCTAAATAATCCACAATTATAAAAGATTAGTAATCCCAATATGGCCGATATAGATCCAATAGGTTTACCAAGCGTAGAATTCAATAAGAATGTCACGATTGTCTATAAATGGAGATGGTATGCAATTAGTACTTCATTTAACATATTAGCAGACATGGCAGAACGATGCAGATTAGAATTAGAGTGTATTTATTGAGGAGCAGTAACAGTGCCACGATATGTTATATTCAAAACGGAAGGAAGTCAAATTACAAGTCTTCAAAGTAATACACTTAAACAACAAGTACAATTGTTTAATGCTAAATGTACAGAATATGAAAATACATGCGTAAACTATGAAAAATTATTTACAAAATAGGTTTTATGGTCCTATCTCCACATAGCTCCCCCCAGAGTGTCCGGAGGTAACACTGATTATAATATGAACAAAAATTGAGAAATATTGTGTATAAATTTACATAAAATAGTATTTACTGTAATAACGGAAAAAAAAAATTGTGGAGATAGGAATAAATGACACGTTAATACTATAGGCTATGCTACGCAAAATGAAACTGAAAAACGAGCATTAAAAAGTTTTGGTTTGTTAATAATAATAATAAAATGTGCGAAACTGTTACTAGAGTCATAAAATATTTTAAAAAAAATGGATGAATTTAATGAATAGTTGGTTTGCATTCACTCGTTTATTACTATGGCAATTTTTCCTATTAAAAAAAAAATTGGCAAAACTAGTGATAATAAATAAATGTAATTATTAAATGTGCATGTAAGGAAAATAAATAGCTTTTATTAGAAAATTGAGTAACAACAATAAAGTGCTTGTAATTGAATCGATTTTCATTAGTCGGCGAAATGTACGTAGCGCTTAGGTTTCTTTACCAACCTACCGGAACGAGTTATAGACGGTTTAAGATGAAACTTGTCCTCTTCGCTTGGCTTCTCAGGAACAGAAAGGAGAGGTTGTTGTTCATCGATGTTAACTTCTTTAAGGTGAGTCGGTTCGTAAAACGCTGGTTTAATTCTATCAATGGAAATAGTTTCTTTGTTCCCATTTCGAATGATAATAAAATGTTTGGGAGTACGTTTGGTTACTTTATAGGGACCTTCGTATGGTGGTTTTAATGGCTTTTTGACAGCGTCAACTCGAACGAAAACGAATTTGCAGGTTTCAAGGTTTTTATCTAATTGCACCCGGTTGTTATGTTGTCGAGGGGGTATTGGTTTAATATTCTGCATCGTCTGTAATAAGCGGCTTGCAAAACGGGAAGAATCCCCTAGCGTTGTAGATTCGCAATTGACTAATTGGCCTGGTAATGTTAATGTCGTACCGTAGACTAATTCGGCAGCAGTGCACCCAATGTCTTCTTTAATAGTGGAATGAATACCCAGGAGTACGAGTGGTAAGGCATCGCTCCATTTGGTAGGATCAGCTTGAGTCGTCAGCGAGCTTTTCAATTGGCGATGAAATCTTTCAACCATGCCATTAGCTGCTGGATGATAAGCCGTTGTTTTGATGTGGTTGACCCCAAGTAGTCTGGTGAATTCCTGAAATAAAATGGATTGAAATTGGGGGCCACGATCAGTAGTGATAATTGCAGGTACTCCGTAGTTCGATATCCATCGGTCGAGAAAAACTGATGCTACAGTTTCAGCTGAAGTGTCTTTGATGGGGCATGCAATCGCCCATCGAGTGAACCTGTCCACCACAGTGAGAATGTGAGTGAAAGAGTTTGACGGTGGCAGGGGCCCAACTAAATCCAAGTGAATATGTTGAAAACGTCTGTCGGGGGTATGAAATTCCCCAATTGGGCTGATTGTGTGTCTCTGGACCTTACTCCGCTGACATTGTATGCAGTTTCGTGCCCATCGTTTTATATCGGAGTTAATTTTGGGCCAGACAAAACGTTCGGTGATCAGCTTTGTGGTGGCTCTGATACCTGGATGCGAGAGTCCATGTAAGTGTTGGAATAACTTTAGTCGACAAACCTGAGGGACAAAAGGGCGATTATTGCCTGTTGAAGTGTCACAAATAATGGATGCATCTGAGAAAGGAATGGGTACCGATCTGAGATTCAAGCTAGACTTTTCTCTACAGACCTTCAATTCTGCATCGTCTGCTTGTAACTTGGCTAAGGTTTCAAGATTGATGTCATGGTTAAGTACCGTCATATTAATATCCTTTCTAGACAGTGCGTCTGCGACAATATTGGTATGACCCTTGATAAACTGAATGTCTGTTGTAAATTGCGAGATATAATCGAGTTGTCTCGCTTCTCGTGGAGAATGTTTATCATATGACGTATTAAATGAGAAACACAGGGGTTTATGGTCCGTCATAATAGTGAAGTCACGACCCTGTAGTAAAAAATTGAAGTGTTTAACAGCTAGGTACATGGCTAAAAGTTCTCGTCCAAATGTGCTGTACCGCTCTTGAGCGGGTGATAACCGTTTAGAGAAAAAAGCTATTGGTTTAATCATGTTATTAACTCGTTGTTGTAGCACTGCCCCTACAGCTTTTTGAGATGCGTCTGTACACAAGATCAGATGCGTTTGGGGGTCAGTGTTTAGGTGTTGTAGCATAGTTGCGTCGGCGATCAAGTTTTTGGCTTTTTCAAATGCTATTTTGGCGTCAGAGGGTAAGTGGAATAGTTGGTTCTTATTTTTGCTACTCGCTTTATCCTCTTTCAGCAGGTCTGTTAAGGGTTGTAGGACATCAGCACAATTGGGCAGAAATCGTCGATAAAAATTTAATGTTCCCAGGAAACGACGTAGTGCCTTAACAGAAGTAGGCTCAGGGTAGTTGATTATGGCTTCTACCTTCTGTGGAAGGGGTTTAATTCCCTGAGAGTCTATGTAATGACCGAGGAACTCCAACACTGAAACACCAAATATGCACTTTGAGGGGTTAATCACGACGCCATAACTTTTGAAACGCTCAAAGAGGGTCTGTAAGTGCTGAAGATGTTCTTCCAAGGAAGAGCTAGCGATTAGGACGTCATCGATGTAAACAAATACGAAATCTAAACCTCGCGTGACTTCATCCATAAATCGTTGGAATGTTTGCGCAGCATTCTTAAGCCCAAATGGCATTCTCAAGAATTCAAACAACCCAAAAGGTGTGATTACGGCTGTTTTTTCAATATCCTCAGGTGCCACTGGGATCTGATGATAAGCTCTGACTAGGTCTAGTTTTGAAAAAATCAGTTTACCGTGCAGGTTTAGTGAAAAATCGTGTAGATGAGGAATAGGGTATCTGTCTGGAACTGTCTGATTATTCAGACGCCTATAATCTCCACAAGGGCGCCAATCTTGATCTTTTTTGGGAACCATGTGCAGTGGCGAGGCCCAAGGGCTATTAGACTGTCGGATTATCCCTAGTTGCATCATATGTTCAAATTCTCTTTTAGCGGACTGCAACTTATTGGGTGGTAGTCTCCTCGCCTTGGCGCAGATAGGTGGACCAGTTGTAGTGATAGTATGTTGAACATGGTGTGTGGAGTTTTCAGTTTGATAATCGGCTTTTGTTATACATTCATACTTCGATAGAAGATCGGCAAAAGTTTGACTATCAGGTCTAAGCAATCGGACACCATAAGTTTCATAATTGCAGGTGATTGTTCCGTTGACCTGTAGACTTGTATTCACGTCGATAAGTTTCTTTTTTCTCATGTCGACAAGGAGATTGTAGTTACTAAGAAAATCAGCTCCAAGGATGGGTTGTTTAACTTCAGCGACGATGAAAACCCATGTAAAACGTCTACGGAGACCGATGTCTAAGATGAGTGATTGCTCGCCATACGTTTTAATAATAGAATTGTTTGCTGCCACTAATGATAATTTAGCGTGTTGGGAGTGCCGTCGTCGGGATAGATGAAGTGGGAGTATGCTTATTTCGGCTCCAGTATCGATTAGAAAATCCGAGCCCGAAATACGATCCCTGACATGAAATAGACGGCTTGAGTTGTGGCCAGAGTCAGGCGCCGCCATTACTGCCTGGCCGGACCGTTTCCCTGGTTATCAGTGGTGGGTGAGGGGAATGCACATGGGCGTGTACAACGCCGTGCTTTTGTGCCGAATTTAGTATGATACCAACAAATTTCGGAAGTTCGTTTAGGTGAACGGGATCGTGGTCTAGAGCGTGATCTCTGTCTGAAAAGGGGTCTTACTTGTTTGGCCTGAACCGTTGCTACAGTGGTTTGAAGGGACTCAAGTTGATTCGTCAATTGAGATAACTGTCTTTGAATAGAGTTTAAGTAACTGACATCAGCTGCTCCATACGGTTGCATCGTATTTATATAGTGATTATCATGGCAGACTTCCATTACCTTATCCGCCATATCAGCTAAATCATCGAGAGAGGAGGACTTCCCCAAGGCACTTAGGATTTGTCTGACACTGCGTGGTAATCGATTGAACCACATATGTTTGAGGAGGGCTTCGTCTAGTTTATAAGGGCCTGCAAGTTGTTTCATGTGTCGGAGTAGTTGGGAAGGTCTTCTGTCTCCCAGATCACATGCATTCAAAAGTTGTTGTAATCTTGTCTCATCTGAGACTGTTGTTCGCTGAATTAAAGCCGCTTTTAATTTATCATACGGCTCGGTTTCCGGAACCTGGTCGATAAGGTCTCCTACTTCGGCCGCAATTTCGATCGGGAGTGAGCCAACTACATAAGCGTACTTAGAAGCTTGGGAACGTACGCCCCTGGACTGAAATAAGGCTTCAATTTGAGCAAACCAGATTCTAGGATTATTTACTCCATATGGTGGAAGCTTAAATTCAGAAATGGCGTTGACTGGACTGAATGTACAGTCGGTAAAGTTAGATGATGAACTATGAGTGGTTACTGGAACAGGATCCAAATCACTAAGCTTAGGTGGGGAGTACATTAGGTTAAAAATGAGCAAAAGTGTCGTACAATGAGCGAATAAACAATATAACAATGGGATAAATGCGAGATAATAAAATACTAGGGCTCACCAAATAATTGTGGTGGACCAAAACGTATGATAACAAAAATTAGCAACAAAATATTACGTCTAAAGTTTATATAACCATTAACAGTTAATAAGTTAATTACACACAGATAAAGAAAATAAGGGACGTTACTTAACTCTTCAGGCTATTGCGTGTTCAGTTGAGTTTGGTCTAAATAATCCACAATTATAAAAGATTAGTAATCCCAATATGGCCGATATAGATCCAATAGGTTTACCAAGCGTAGAATTCAATAAGAATGTCACGATTGTCTATAAATGGAGATGGTATGCAATTAGTACTTCATTTAACATATTAGCAGACATGGCAGAACGATGCAGATTAGAATTAGAGTGTATTTATTGAGGAGCAGTAACAGTGCCACGATATGTTATATTCAAAACGGAAGGAAGTCAAATTACAAGTCTTCAAAGTAATACACTTAAACAACAAGTACAATTGTTTAATGCTAAATGTACAGAATATGAAAATACATGCGTAAACTATGAAAAATTATTTACAAAATAGGTTTTATGGTCCTATCTCCACATTGTTTTCACTCAAGTCACAATAACCTCACGATGATTTAAATAAACTGAAAGTTCTAAACTTCAGTGAAAAGACTATCAGTGCCTGACAGCACTGTTACGTCAAGAGGAGTCAAGAAAAAATTATTTTGCTCACACCCGATTACTTCGAAATTATTCTTGTCAACAGGTCAAGCATTACTTAACTGCGAATATAAAAAAACCCCGGAATAGGTGTAAAAAAAGCATAGCTAGATCCCGTACCGCTTACGAACGACAGTTGGCATACGACAGCCGTACCTGTCCGAAGTGACTGTTTTCGTACGTTGAAACGCGGACAAAACTTAGTGATGTTATCCCCCCCGTTACTGTTAAACGAAAATTTAGATTTACTAGCTGAATCTGATCTAGCGAAAGCCGAGACATTTACAAGCTATTTTAGTCAAGTCTACTCTACGTGTAGGGTTACAACTACCTGTCCCATTGACAACGAGATACCAGCCATAGGATCTATACACATGACCGAGGATATTGTTCTTCCGTTGATAACTAACCTCTAACCTTACAACATACCGGGCCCCGATGGGTTACATCCATGTTTGCTGTCATCGCTTGCGGACATTATCTCAAGACCGCTCACGATGCTCCTCAACATGTCCCTTTCACTCGCTCAACCACCCAGAGACCGGAAAGACGCTATAGTCAGTCCTATATTCAAGGATGGTCAGAGACGGATCATATCTAATTACTGGCTTGTCAGCCTAACCAGAATAGTCGTTAAGTTACTTGAAAAGATAATTCGGGTTAAGTTACTAAGTCACATAGATTGGTACAATCTGTTAACTCCCGAGCAACATGGGTCTCATAACAAGCGTTCATGCTTGACTAACTTATTGCGAGAGAGGATTGGACAGCAGCCCTAGATAACGGCCTCTCTGTCGATGTGATACTCATAGATTTTAGCAAAGCGTTTGATAAGGTTTCACACTTAGGTCTTATGCAGAAGCTCTCGAGCTTTAGAATAACAGGTGCTATACACTAATTGATAGGAAACTTCTTATGTGACCGCAGACAGAGTGGAATGTTATCTGAACGGAAGCCTGTCAAAAGTGGTGTTATCTAAATGTATCATCTTAGGCCTCCTACTTTTCCTTCTCTACGTTAATGAATTACCGCTATCGCTTAGGTCGATGACATTATTGTTTGCAAATAATGTCAAAATCTGGAGAACAATAAGAAGTCAGGCTGATCATTTTGATCTCCAAGCTGACGTAGACGAATTGGTTAGATCGTCTCAATGTTGGGGCTTAGAAGTTAATTCCAGGAAGAGCGTGCTCATGAACATCAGACACCGTAATAGTTACCATTACACCATTAATGGTACATCTCTTCCACGCGTTCAAGAACATAAAAACTTGGATGTAATAATAAGTCGCGAATTGAAAACTACTACGCACTGCAATGCGGCTGTGGTCACCTTGCCGAGCATTTAAATGCTTTGACGAGTAGATGTTACGAATTTTATATCCCACCCATCTAAGGCCACACTTAGAATACTGTATCCAAGCAGCTAGCCCTTGTCTGATAAAGGATACTAAATCGCTTGAGCATGTCCAGCGTGTGGGGCTGAAACGAGTGAAGGGTCTTTCTAAACTCCCTTACGATGTGAGTTTGAAACGTCTAAACCTTTTCCCCTTATCTTATCGTAGGACACGAGGTGACCTTATACTGGCATTTTGTATCTTTAATTATGATTTGGGTGTTAATATGTCTCATCTTTTTGCTCCCTCCAGCACTAATAATCTCCGAGGTCATAGCAAGAAGGTTCAAAAACCGCGATCTAATAAACTAAAGGTGGGGTCCCGTTTTTCTCATCAAGTGGTCAATGACTGGAAAGGATTACCAGAACAAGTAGTATCAGCACCATCAGTGAATATTTTCAAGAAGAAGCTGGACTTCACTGGAAGGAAATCTGTCAGTATTAACACAGGTTCATCAACCTACTATCCTTATTACTGAGGACTGAAGACTTATTGGACAAAAGATTACAACATGACCTTAAGCCACTTTTCGAAAAATATACTCAGTCGCGCACTTGCGTTTATTGTTTGAGTGTTTGAGATTTTATTTCTTGACAAATGTAAGGCATTTCCAGTGCATACCGATGTGTGGTCTTGTATTTCGTTATTTCCTCTTTAGAGAGGATAGATAATTATTATCCCTTTCTGCGTCGCTGATGCTATAGCACCCGTGTAATACTACACGGCGAAATTCAACAACACCATCAGTTTGCCTATTACAGTGTTGTGAAAGCGGATGTTCTTAGCAATATGTCTGTTTGGTTCCAAACAATATATACTTTGTGATTAGTTCAAGTTGATAACAAAATCTTTATCATTCCCGATTAGGTTTTGGGAATATCAGATCATCCAATTATTTTCGTCGTCTAATGTGTAGTCATAGTAAATGCAAACTTCTCAAAACAACCCTGAGTCGAAGGTATTTTAGGGTATTTTGAAATACCAGTAGTTTGTATTCATTTTACAGATTAGCGTCGAAGTGAACGTTGTCAACTTTTAATCCTGCCAAACTTTCATTATATTATTATTTTGATCTCTTTGTTGATAGTATCTAAGGTAGCATCTCATTGTTCTCCGTCTGTATTTGTTTGTCAAAAATGGTGTTCTTACTTCGTATGTCATTTGTATCTCTCTGATTTTTTTGAGATTATAACTATATGTCTCTGAATGCATGGCATTCGCAATCGAGAAAATAACTGAACTTTTTAAAACGTCGGATTTGTGCAATATGTCAATACAATAAGGAATCCAAAAACCATTAACATCAATAATTACACTATCTTTTCAATATCCATCCGCTACAAACCTGCATTCTACTGTTCGGATTTTCAGACCTTTGAGCAGCTATATAAGCTTCTTCTTCTTTCCTTTGTACGTTTAGTACCATGAATCACAAAGAGAGATTACTCTAACTGAAGCAGCTATATAAGCTTCTTCTTCTTCTTTGCTATGTACGTTTAGTACCATGAATCACAAAGAGAGATTGCTCTAACTGAAGGACATTAGAAGGTTATATAGTTGACTGGATTTGCACTCCACATTCGAATGCGTCCCTTCTTTTATTTTGGGTTTCGAATTTTACGCGCACTAGGTTATCAAGCAGTTAGAAAGAATTTCAGTCTCATTATATTCCATGTGCCATTTATACTTAGTGTATATTTTCATCGAAAATTTTTAAATAGCTGTAAGGAAATCTTATTTCGACACTGTTATCGAACACAGTGTGCCTACTTAACATGTGTTTTTGTGATCAAATAATTTATGTTGTGATACGAAGTCGTGGGAAAAATAAAAATACGTCTGTAGAATCGAGTATTTGTTTTCGGGTTAGTAAGGTAGACAAGTGTAGAATATGTCTCTAATCAAGGGCAACTTAAGTAGTCAAACGACGCTTGTTATCGACACGATGCCCAATAAACAAAGGTAACAAGGCTACACACGATGAAGGAAATTTTGCATTTCAGCTGTTTTGTTCCATTAAAACCTTCCTTTATTTCCGTCCGTGTGGGCTTGATTATATAATTGTCATTAAATATAAGGCTTTAAGAGGACTGTACGCACAAAAAGCATTGTTTTTCGATGCATTCTCAAATTCGCTAGTTATTCCAGACAGATATAACGTTCATTTACGTATTAATTCATTTAAAAAAAGACAATTTTTATGCGAACTAATTGTCTAGAGAGGCGTGTAACCCAAGAGAGAATGATGATAATAATTAGTAACTCAATACTCACTGCCTTTTATTGTTAAAATGAGATGTATATTGATTTGAAGCCAACAGAGATCTCGTCAAAAAAAACTTACAGCTCTTTTCTCTTTTAGATTCGTTGTAAATAGACTGAAGATGCGCATTTCTAACGAAACGAAAGTCGTTTTAAATCTTGACGCTCTGGCATTATCTGTATTCGTTTCTGTATCTATGTCATTCTTCATAAGTGACCAGTTTATTTACTACAGGTAAGACGTAGTACAACCAGTGTATTCATTATCTTTGATAGCTTTCTGATATCCCGTATCGCTACATAAGTTTCTGTGTAAATTCACCTTTGGAATTTCAATTATCAGTTATTATCGTATGTGTTCTTATCAATAATATTTCATTTTTCGCTCAACAGGCTAAAAACAAGAAGCGCAATCAAATGTTTACATACTTATTTCATAATTATTGGATGATTTCCGAAGTTTCCGGGCCTTGTTTATCTTGGAGAAACGAAAATTTGTTGTCATTTATATTCTACTTCAGTTTATGTTATTGTTTACCTACCAAGTGATATGTCATATGGGCCGTCGAATACCACGTGACAAAATGACCTGTATGACCTTGTCCTCGTCATAAACCAATTAACGCGTCGACCAACACGATCAGCCTAGAGTCAACTCATAATCCTTTTTGATCTTCTGTGTAGTAGCATCTCTCCTACCCCAGCCTGGTTTAGTCGAGAACACAAATATCAGCCTGCGCTTTATGAGTCGTATATTTCGGATATCTGTTTTATATACAGGCAGACCAGATCGCATTACACTATAAAATGAAAAGCAATAATTATACAAGATCAAGCTAATAGTGGCTGCGAGTGTGAGACTGTAACCAACAGATTGAGAATAAGTTGAGGACAGTAAATGGTATAATAGCCAACAGGTCAAAATAAGCTTATGATAAGAGAAATATAAATATAATCTGGTTATTTAATAGTTATGCAATCAGAATAAATATTATAGTAACAATCCATAAGTAGTCCCTAAACTTTACCCATAATTTAATCTTCGGATACAACATGAACTTTTAAAATCGATAAATGATGTGAGTCAGCTCGTATGGGCTTGATGCTATAATCTTAATTTTGATTGGATTTATAGCAGTATCTGAGGTCTTTTACTATACTGATCAATAATTTGAGTTGTAATTGTTTTTTTTTTTGCAAGTTGGTTCTAAGTGTCATTTTTTAAAAAGTTTTGTTCACTGATTCCTAATTCTTCTGAGATGAGTTTACAAAATACATTCTGCCACCACCGATGCAGGCTGAAATATGGACTTGGAAAATGGGGGTTACAATTCCTCAATTTTGTTTTTAGTTTCTATTATGTACACTACATATTTTCGAAATCACAAGAATCATGTAAATGTTACTTTCGTATTTGTATTCATGCAATTCATTTCACTTTATAGGCACCTATAAATGATTTATAAATCGCACTGATTATTTATTAAGTGTAAAGACATTTCATATAATCTACACCGCACCAAATAGTAATAAGTTTTCTTATGAACGGTCGGATTTCAGTGTAAAATGCATCCAGTAATTACCCTGGTGATTTTTAGATATTATTATGCCCTTATTTGTTTGAAAATTGGCATTAGGTTTTAGGTCTTCTGTATTTTATTTAGATTTCCTAAGTCTTTTGATGACAAAATGCATTTTTAATTAATCGGTGACATAAAATTAAAGAAATAACTTAGGCTTTTATCTTATATAAAGTTCTGATGGTCTTTCTTTCTGTGCCACACACAAAATGATCAACAACGTAAAAAAGTAATTTTGTATCGTTAGCGGTAAGGCCTTGGTATTAGAGACTGACTTTTGACATTCATCCTCTCTGGATCACCTCAATATAGTCATTTTGTCACGTTATGTAGAATAAATGGCTTGTTGTTAGCAGTGGGACCCAGGCCGCTTGTTTTATCCCATCTGTGACTCGTCAGTTGAGTGTGCTTTCACACCGGTGTTTGTATTTACGCGATGACTCGAATCCATTACCTTTTATTTTGAACTTCCAGCTTATTATTCACTGAGCTGCTGACTCCAGATGACTATTAAATTGTTTAGCGGGTATGACATATATATCAATAGTAGTAAGTGTTTAAAATATACGCTTTTTGATATTAAGGAAAACGCTCTTTATCTAAAATATTATGACCGTGACATGCATTTACAAGCTTACATTACAGACTTAATAGTCATGAAAAGTTTGAATTAACGTCGTTTTGTCAGTAAAGTTAATAGTCGTACAGAAAAATGTTATTAGTCAAATTTTATAGTTAGAAACATTCATCTGTTATTACTATGCACAGTCTGTTTAGTCTGAAACTTTCTTGCACTGGGATATCTTAGTAGAAACACAATTCATAAACATAAAATGAAGTTTCGTTTAATAATGAATGAAAGGGATTCGGCGAAAATTTTCCTTTAGAATTATTTTGCTCTAGTCTAGTTCATACTATCCTTATAAACTGACTGGATTATACATCTTATGCTTGTAAATATGATCTTAATACTATTGAACGTTTGTGGATATTTATTTATTTATTTAAACATATAAATATTGGTACAAGGGGGCACCAGATATATATGCGCCACACGATACAATGAAAATGGGGAGAGAAAAAGGGGTAAGGTGCATATAGGAAAAAAAGAGAAGGAAACAATAACAACTACAGATTAGTGTATGTTAGTGTAATAATACGAGTAATAATGGGGGAAACAGAAATGTAAAAGCAGAAGAACTCTTTCAGTTAAATAAGTTATAACTACTCGTAATGAAGAAAGTAAAAAAGGTTATAGCAGGATCGCCATTGGCTTCTATTCTGACCCATATCTGATAACGTTTCTAGCCACTGTGTTGCACTATCTCTCGGACCCCAGACAGGGAGTCGGGAAGGACAAACAAAAGCCAACCCTTTGCAGCTTTCTTTCATACCAAGACACCATGTCATACACTGACCACCTCTCCGCTTTTTCCAACCAGTCCCAGAGTCGGCAAATAATGCACGACGTGGAATTCTCTGGGACGACATTCGTAGAACATGTCCACGCCACCGAAGTCGGTGTTTCAAGACGGTGACACCAATTAAATTATCGTCTCTGTACCCGAACACATGTTGCCGAACCTCTGCATTACTAACATGGTGTTGCCACTGGATGTCAGCAATCCTTCGGAGACAACGATGGTCAAACACAGAGAGTTGTCTAACATCCTCAACTCGGAGAGGCCAGGTTTCACAAGCATAGAGCAAAACTGCTCTCACCGACGCGTTGTAGATCCGACCTTTTCAGCCAGACTAACATCACGAAGGCGCCAAAGATGGCCCAGATTGGCATAAGCCGCTCTGGCTTTTACTATACGTGAACTGATCTTACCACTCACGCCACCATCAGCACTTATGCATCTACCCAGATACATGAACTCGACTACTTCAATCTGCCTACCACTCAGGGTGAGTACAGAATTAGAATCCTGCCAGTCTTGTAGAAGTACTTTGCACTTCTAATACGCAAAGCACATACCGTACTTGTGGACACTCATTGAGTGCGGATTGCATGGCTTGAGCATTATCACACAGTAAGACAATATCATCCGCATATTTAAGGTCGAGAAGTCTTTCTCCAGGCAACAGATCCACACCGCCATTACTCACATCCATCAGAGCTGTTTCCAGAATATCATCGATAGCAAAGTTGAAGAGAGATGATGAGATTGGGCAACCCTGCCTAACTCCACTGTCTGAATGGAACAATGGAGAAAGGTGGTTGTATGCCCTCACTCTGCTTGAGATGTTTGTATACAGGGCCCTTTAAGATGTTAATGAACTTCTCAGGCACACCCTTCTTCAATAGACAATCCCAGAGAATAATCCTGTCCAACGAATCGAAGGAGGCCCTGATGTCAAAAAACACTACGATTGTTGGCTTTTGATAAGTACGACGGTGTTCTAACATTTGGCGGAGGGTGAAAACATGATCAAAACATTCTCGACCAGAACGAAATCCAGCCTGCTTCTCGCGAGTCAATCTTTCTTGGGTTTTGAACAACCTACGAAGTATGACAAAAGTCAATAGTTTGGGCGCGATCGGAAGTAGACTTGTCCGCTGATAGTTGTTACAGAAACGATGTGAACCTGTCTTAAAGATAGGAACAACCATTGATTCATTCCATGACTTTGGAACATTCTCTAACTCCCAAAACTTTGTGAACAACTCAATCAACTCCTTACCCAGAAAGTCACCACCATCTTTAAAAGGAGTTGGAGGTAAGTCATTTTGTCCAGGCGATTTGTAACACTTCAAGAGTTGGAATTCCTTGCCGACTTCAGCCTCATTTGATGAGGCAGTCGTCACCGGCCATGGAGGACACGACAATCTAATCGATGTTGCGGGAGCAGCAGGCCAGTTGAACTGCTCTTCAAAGAATTCTGCCCATCGTCCAAGATGTTGATAGATGTTAGTGATCGACATCCCGTCATCCTCACTGTTTGTTTCACTCATACCAGACTTCTTGCTGCCAGTGGCTCGAATGAGCTTCCAGCATTTACCAGATACAACTGCTGCTTCCAGCTCATTAGCATGCTCCGACCACCAGGCTTCTCGGTCCTTACGCAAGCTTTGCCCAACTTCATTGTATAACAGCCTTCGTTTGTGGTCAAACTCACGGTCACCCCGAGTAGATCGACGGGCTTCGATGAGTTGTAAAGAGCCTGAAGAAACCCAGCGCTTATAAGCGAGACATTTCGCGATGCCGCAAGCGACTTTGCTCGCCATTTTCATGCAGTTGTAGCCAATGCTCATCTATACTTTTCGGTGGGATGTTAGCTAGCCTAGAAGCTAGCTGGGTTCGATACTTACTTGCAACAGAAGTTGAAACCAATTTACTGACATCAATCCGTTGATGATGGTCAGTTCGTTGGCCACTGAAAAGTAAGGTAAGATTGGCGCAGTCCAGGGTATGATCAGAGTCAAGATAAGTACTCCAAAAGGAGTGGCAGTCTTGTACACAACCACGCCAGCGGTAGCTGATCGCGATGTGATCAATCTGGGTCCAGGCTATGGATATATGTAAATCAATTTATATTTAGACGTCATTATTATTTTATGGATGTTTTAATTAATTTTCGTATGATTTAGTATATTTCTTTAGAGAAACAAGCGAACAATATTGTTTACAATTAGATATTCATTAGGCCTTGATATACAATAATATTTATATGGATATATCAAAACATTAAATCAATCAATGCAGTGTATGAGTAAGTGATAACAGTGGAATAGGTTACATAAATAAACAATTTGTATAAAGTACTGTTTTATAGTCTGATGACAGGTAACTAGTTACGATAAGATTTATTTCACTTCAGTTAATTTTTGTCATCAATTTTTAATTAACATTATAAATACGGAACTTAATGTACATGAAATCAAAAATTAGCGTTAAAATACTTCAGTTTTGATTGTCACATATCATTTGGATGATCTATTTAAACGTATTACCTCACTAGATCCATAGTCTTCCTTCAACGCGACTAACTTTAACTGCTGTTTCTATTTTTTTTTAATCTGATAACTTTTAACTAGTATTTTAAACTGAATGAAATGTGGCTAACAGTGGAATACGGGACACTTGTTACGTTCTATTTAGGATTCGTCAGCTGAATGTACTTGAATCTCAGAGTTGATGCTTTCTCTGGGGCTTGAGCCTAGTTCCGTTCGCTTCATAAGCCAGCTCGTTATCCAAACCATTAGAAATTGAATTAATATTTTAAACATTGAGCTGTGCTTTATGTAAATTTTAAGCCGTTTGTTTTATCCGGTTGTTTATTTTTTTACAGTTGTCTATCTGAACAAGGAATCGACTATTGGTTGGTGAATAAAAGTGACTTGTGAGTCTGAACATTAGTAATAATAAATGCATAGTGGGGTATTTTTAGAGCATTTACCAGGGGTTCACGTGATTGATCTTGACATCCTCTCATTTTATCGCAAATTGACTGATATTAGAAAATGAAGAATAATGGAATTTAATTTACATCTGGATATTAATGCAATTTTCACGATAACTGAAACTCCCAGGGACATCCTCTTTGAAAATGGGTTAACGAAAGCACTTTTAAGTCATCCTAAATAAAGATTAGACAGTTGTTTTGTGGTCTCTGTTTTTTAAAGATACTTCAGCCTATGCAATCTTGTGATGAAGATTCCCACTCTGACTGTATCATTTGCATCTAACAAGTGTTAAGTCACCCTGTACAATTGTCTTTTTTATCAAAACATGGTGTATAGATAACAAATATTATTCAATATCTTGATAATAGACTCATCTACTAGATATATCCCTGTTCAAAAATCGGTGCAACGTCATACTATTTTTATCTACTAGTAATACAGTTGACATATAATCTTCATCATGATAAATCATTGTTCTTTTTAACCGTATAGTACTGCTCAGAGACTCAATAGTTTCTTACTTCTCAAGGTCATTGTCGAAATCTCTCTTTTTCGCCAACAGAAGTAAAACATGTGGAAAACTTGTGTCGTAATGATTGTATCAAGATAATACTCACAGGATATACAGATCCCAACAAACATTGATCACATTTCAGTCAAAATATCAACAACGGAATGATCCGAACCGTTACACCCAAGGACATTTGTGTAAACGTGCACTATCGAAGTATGGCATTACATTCATTTTTATTCTAAGCATCAGAATATATAGGCTTTTTTCATAATACATTTTGTTTGTTTCATGTCTTTAATTTCAACATAATCAATTCTGCACTTGTCCCAAAAGTCATGAAAATCTACTTTATACACTTAGCTACTTATTTCGTCATGTACTTTTTAAAACTCATAAGTCAACAGACTTAAATATCATCAACATAGAGACTGGCGCAGATGTGAATTGGCCAAGTTATCATGCTAGATTAACGCATTGAGATAAAACTAACAAAATAGATCAAAATAATATAGTAGCGCTAGTAAAAAGAAAGTATGAACCTTTGGGATGTGGTTTTAAAAGACAATGGAAAGGTATGTATAAAAAGATACTTAAATTTAAGATCAAGAGGAAGATAAGAGTGAATGCATCTACACCATTGTGAGTGATTTTGGACCTTGTCATCCAGTCTTCATCTATTGATCGCGATTAACATGCGGATCTCAACGAGGTAGTTTACCAACTTGGATCATACAAATACTGAGTAATTATGCAGACTGGTGTCACATTTTGGTTTCACTCTCCTTAGCTTGACTCATCGAGGTAGATGCCAGTTAGACATATGTAACATGTGTTTCATCTTCAGTTGATGGGGATCCACTGCCTCATCAACCTTAAGGAAGGAAGCTGTGCCTAACCTCAACATTTCTTACTCGGTCGTTTAAAAACATGCGAGCAGTGCTCTAAAAATACCTATGATCAAGAACCTTCCATCTGTGCATGTTTCTGCCTTTGTAGACCATGCTTCACAGCCGTAAAGTAGAATCGAGTGGACTGCTGAGCAGTATACACTTTCTTTGGTTGTGAGACGATTATCTCGCGTACTCCACAAATGACTTAAGTTGGCAAATGCCAGCTAAGCCTTATGAGTTCGTCCCCAGATTCCCTCAGACCTCCACCCGCCAGGACTGATTATTCTTCAAAAGCTCTTGTAGATATTAATGCCGAGGCTGGAATTAATAGCTTCAAATGAACTGAGCGTTGGATAGAAAGCTAATAATAAATATATCTTTCGTTATATCCCAATGAGTAGGCGAATTGTGTTACTGACATTGCGTGACTTAATGTATTATTTAAACATGCGGTAATTTCATTTCAGTTATTTGTTTACTCTGAACAAGCAGCTTACATTAAGTCACGAAACCTTAGGAATACAATTTGAATACTCATTGGGATATAACGAAAAATATATATTTATTATTAAAAGCTTTTTTGGAATTTTCCAAGAATTTTCCAGACAAAAACTTTTGTTTTTTATATTCGACACAAGATCAACGGTACGATTTTGGTTTATTTGGCTTTTTTTAGTACGAATGGACTGCAAGATGCACAAAAGAAAGCTGCTTCTATACAGTCTGTTAAAAATTTGCTGGGTATTGGGACTGGGATTTTCTCAACGCTAATCATTGGTTACCTATCGGATAATTATGGTCGGAAATTGACGTTGGGAATTATAGTATTAGGAGAAGCTTTACGAATTTTAGCTGTCTGTAGGTTATACAATAAATCTCTTGTATTGTTTTCCTTTATTTTGTTGTATATTGGGTCATGCATGAATTTACTAGAAGTTGTTGCCTATTTCAGTGATGCTACAGCATTCAGACAATCACAACATACTACGATTGGTTTTCAGTGAACCTATGTTTAAATTGGTCAACGCAGACCTATTGGTAAAACTACCTTCTCAGTAGTTTATTATGAACTAGGTGGACTAAACCACTTCAAAGTCGATTAGTTATTCTTTTCATGTATTTATGTCCACACATGATTTGTAAGTTATTGTCTGGAAATATACCAAAATAGCTATAGAAATAAATGTGTTAAACCGACCCATTCAGAGCAGATTGATCCTAACTCAGCCTTTGAGCTTTCGTATAAAAATTGTCTGGGTCGAGTACTTAGGTTTGTTTATGACCTAACCGTATGGGATTTCAAACCCCTCGTGCATGTTCAAAAACAATGTGAACTTACATCGAAACTGCTTTGGGAATGTTGATTTATTATTCAGTGGTGTGATTCACATTGGTTTCCTTATTATTTTTGTTTTTCTTTTATCTTTTGATTTGTCTAGTTAACCTTTATTTGTCGTACATAAATGCTTTAACGTGTAGATGTGTGATTAGATTGTTCTAAATTTATCGCTCATATATATCACATATATCTGATAAACTTCACTTTTTAATTGTATCCTGGTGTGTAAGTAAATTAAATAATTGACTTACCACCTTACTTCCATCATTGAAAATTAATTACTTAGGTGTGCAATACTTTAATATTCAAGGCATCAGGATTGCCTACAATGTTAATTGTTTGGACTAATTTTCACACTCTTCTTCAAATGAATTCTTCAAATGTATTATTGAGGAAAATCTGAAACCCTTTTAGAATGAATATCATGCAACAGTTTGATTAAAATACTTTCTTGTTTTCCAGCCCTTAGCAAGAATCTTTAAGATCTTTATAATAAAGGTGAATAATCTTAACACGAACTATCGTAAAAAATCAAACAAAGTTGACTTATTATCGTCACCTAGTTCAAATTAATCCAAACTACGGATCGGAGAACTTTCCAAATCCACCATATGTATTTAATTATGTATACAGTTATTGGGGCCCGTACACGTTTACAAGTACCTTAGAGATATAGTCGTTTAGTTGCTTTCTTAACGAAAATCTCTTAATTAGTAATGAAATGAAAGGATTAATAATGTATTGCGATTAGGCGGAAAGGAAACAAATTTGCAATCGTACACATGAAATTACAACATAATAAATTACACAAGCTAACAGTAGAAGTCTGAACATTTCTAACATAGTCATTCGGGCCTATCAAAGAGGATGCGCCACTCAGAATGCATCTCTGTTGGCACGAGTGATAAAGAATCACCATTTTTGTCCAACTTACGGACTACCATATTTTAACCTTATGTTCATCGTCCATTAGATAATTACCAAGCAGTTTCTTTATAATCATTTAGTACTTACTGTAAATTGTTCACTTACCTACCGTTAATGATTATTCTTCTTACTATTAATCGCTTTATTCAATATTATATGCTTGGTAGAATATAGAATTCTCATTTAAAATATTTTAACAGGTTTCGTTTACAAAAAACTGGTGCCTGCATACATATATACATAAATTAAGTAAATAAACTACCTGGAATTAAATGAAATGCTTTTCATTAAGATTAAAATCTGTACAACATTTTAATTAGAAACATGTTTAAGAACAAAAGTTATTGAATAGGCGAACTCTAACAACCTGTTCATCATATGATATATTTGCTAGATAAGGCATTGTAGAGCTTTTATGTCTTTAAAGCAATTAGTCCCTTTGATAAATTTCGATAATGCAATGAGAAGACGAATATTAATAATGATAATCTTCGTCTTCTCATTGCATTATCGAAATTTTATGTCTTTGTTTGGATGCGTGGATTGTAATGTATTAGCTCCTCGTCTTACTAGATGATATACAAGGAGAAAGATATGAATGAAATGGATGGTCATCATCTGATAACACTTGTTAGAGGTTTGCAAGATTCTAAATATCTATCTATTAATAATGACTTAAAACGATTCACTACACGCTTCGCTAACTGCTTTCAACACTCTCCTCAATACGGCAAAATCTTATCTCAAAAACCTGAGGATGTATAATGGAGTGCAGTAAGAAAAAATATTATTATGCAGGTACCAAGAAACCGTAAATGTAAATGCAGCCTCTTTATATAGTTAGTCAGACGGAAAACTTTCTTCGATAACACTAAAACGTAAGAAAAACAAGAGAGACCAGAGGAAAAACTCATACCAAGAAAAATGACCGTTGACACAGTTTTTACTACAGAATTTCCAATATTAAAAGCTTTATAGGATTCCAACGAGGTGTTTAGGTGTTGTTCGTACCCCAGGCTAATGTTAACAGTTTGATATTTAGAAGGATTAAGTGTACGACCACTAACAACAGATCATCGTTTAACAAGTGAAAACAACTGTTTTGACTTGTTTGACGGTCAATTAGAGAGGAGTGATTTATCAATCGGACGAATGATACACGTAATCCGTACGAGCAGTCTACAGTACTTGTCGGTCCTGCTTCTGCCTAGCCCAACCAGTTAAGTTCAGAACAGCCTCTGTGATATAAATCATTCTCAAACTGGGTTTATATACCAAACAGATAGACCACATCGTACCATAAAATAGGAAACAACATTTGTAAAAGACTTGACCAAATATGGCTCTGATTAGGGGGCACAGTAATTAATAGACTGGGGATAACTTAGGAATGGTAAATCATATAACAATAGTTTATATTTCAAAATAAAGCTTATAATAAGGGGGATACGAATACGAATAGTTTAGTTATATAGCGATTATACGATGCAAAATATTGGTCCATAAACGGTTCTCAGAAGTTACCATTCATAATTCTCTTCGGGGTACAACAATAACATTCATTTCAAGTATATGTGTTGAGGTAAAAATTGAGATCGTCCGCGTGTTTGACAAAATGTGTTTCCTGTTGGGGATGGTAGGTCATGTAGAAAAACAGAGAAAGGAAGAGGATAAAGAAATGCCCCTCGCGGCACACTTTAATGAATTAGTAGAGATGTTGAACACTCTTCTCCATATACAGTGCACTGTTCTCTTCCAGAGAGATAGGAACACAGCCAGTTGGTTATTCAGCTCTCAGTGTTGACGCTGGTAAACTTGTTAAGTAGTAGTTGTCATCGCATAGAGTCAAAGGCAGAAGTATAGTCTGGAAATGCGCACCGAACATATTTCTTACCCTTTTCCAAGCTGAACACTATATTGTAGTGCGGAACAACAACAGCATCTGTGGTGCTTTTTTGCAATCAGCATTCTCACACATCCTCATATGAAGAAATCTAACAATATAAGTTACCCGTAATTATATTTTACCTGCTCTGCTTATTATTTATTTTTCTATGCCTGTTAAAGGTATTGTCGTATTTTTCAATTTTTCTCCCTGGAGTTTAATTGTATCTGAACTATTAGAAGGATCTATTGGCGGTGGATTGTTATCAGTTTCAGCACAATTATTTGCTTGTATAGCTGATCTAACTCAAAAATCATGTGGTGAAATATCCGACGGAAATATGAATTCGATAACCCAGACAAAAAAAATAGTAAAAAAACGTTGGCTTTTATTTACTTTACTCGATGGTGTAATCACTTGTGGAATGGCATTTGCAAATGCACTAACAGGTAACAAGTTAACGTATATTAAATCAATATTAATTGCTACAAAGTATTTTGTTTCTAGCGGTAGTTTCATAGTGTATATATTATATAATTTAGACAAGAGATAATTCACGGTAGTTTTACTTATTATGAACTAGTGTATAATGTGTTCCTCTTTTAATCATTGATCGCATGAAAAGTATAGGCGTTTGTACCGTTTTCTGCGTTGTCTATGACTAATTTACTCCGTCATGTTAAACATGGTATGTGCACTTGATTTCGTTGCTTTATAGATTTTATCACAGTGATTAAAACTTGACAAATAAAATTGCATAATTCAGCAAAACAGTCTTTTTACTTTAAGGCTATTTAAGTTGTAACTTTATTGTAAGACAGAATAACACAAGCTCATCGGTAGCTCTATAGCAAATAAATGTTTTCTGTAGTCGTAAATAATTAAATTAATCAGCTTCTACTGAACACTGTAGACAAGGTAAAATTATTAACAAAGCAATTTTTGCTATTCCCCTTATTACTGGGTGTTAATCTTATGTCCATTTGTGTTTCCGCTATCTTTTACAGGTTTCATGATTCAACATTATCGTTTCTACATAACAATGCTAACCTGTATAGCCTTTCTTATTCCTTCAGTGATTACTTTATTTCTCATACCTGAAACCAGTGTAAAGACAATACAAGTTGAACAGTTAGATATTGAAAATTCATCCGATGAATTGTGCATTACAACTCCAATAGTTCATGATGAAACTAGTAAGCATCAAGAACCCTCTAGTAATTATTCAGTTCACGTGCAATCTGAAAATAGCTGTGTGAATAAACTACAAGTAAGAGAGTTATTTTAAATTATGCATTATACTTTCAGTGCATGACAACTTCCTGTTAATATTTTCAAAGGTTAATTAAATAGAATTTGTTTAACAGTATACTTGGCTTGGCATTAGCTTACTAGTTCACATCATAGCATCAGATCCTATCTTCATCATCTTTACTTCTAATATCAAGGAAACAATTTATAAACTAGATAATAATGTGATGTTTACTGCAATAACAAACACTAAGGTAGTCTTTATCAAGTACTCAGCTTTAAATCTTATTCTTTTATGAAGTCTAATGATACAATAAAAATAAATGAATCGGCGTTCTCACCCTTGCTAATTAGAAGTCAGATATATCGATCACTAAAGTCACTACTTCATTAACTAGAAGAACAATATCACATGTCCTCAAGAAATTGGATGCTTCACAAATCACCATTTTGTTTAATTCAAATAATTAAAGTTTGAACGTCTAATTTCTTTTTGGGGAGTACTTTAAAGCATTATACTTTTCATCATATTGTTTAAATTTGATTAACTCTACGTTTCCCATGTTATCAAACATTTGTTTCGCTGTTGTTGAGTTCTATGAGCTAGATGACTGAATTACGGAGCTTTCATAGTCGTTCTAGGCAATATTCTCGATTGTCAAACATATGTTTGAAACGAGTCGTACGATTTATCTTAAAACGGCTTTTGCGGTGCTGTATGAAAGCGTTAAAAGGTGTTTACTAAGTTTTATTGCGACCTTGATCATACGAAAATTCAACCCCCTTTATTTATTAAAAAAACAGTTTGCTCTCACCTTGAAACTGATCAAGACAGTCAATAGAAAAACAAGAGTTGAACTAATTTAACGCTAATAAACTAGTGTCTTGATGATGTGATGAATGATAATGTAAGCTCCGCACTTAAACCGTCTAGGCCATGGAACTTAACAAAATCAAAAACATTTGCATAAGTTACCAATTCCATCATTCTGAGATTTATGCTACTCGCGTAAGCGTGGTGACTGATTTCTTTCTAAGACCATTGAAGCAGTTTTTCATTTTGTAACTGGTGTTACACATTATTCGGGTTATGGCTCTGGATATTCACAAGTCATTGAAATATGAAATTCAACTCAAAATTTCTCTTATTAATACGGTTAAATAGGTTAGCAACACGTGGTTTAACTACATCGGAAACAATAATGTTTTCGTCTCTGATCCGAATTAAGCCCTTCAACTCTTGCACCTGTCGAACTAAGCTTTGTAACTAGATCCAGCTATTACAATGCTTTCGTTCATAGTGTTTTTATGTACAGAACTTCTTACTTATCAGCTAATAGAAAGTAATCACGTATCGTTAACTTGTAAACAAACAATGTTCACTGAACAATTATTTTAAAGTTAGTCTGGGTGTTTAAATAACCTTTATAAAGTGTGATAAATATACCGGAACACAAAGGGTATTTTACCATCGTATGATGTTATTTAAACTTTGAAATTAAACATCATGTGATTTACATGCACTAAGTTTGATAAATCTTCCAGTTACAAACAGTAATAAATCCAGTTAATTGACCTCATTATTTTGAAACTGACATGTTTATACCCAAGCACATACGGATCTAAGAAACGGTCAAGACCTATTGATTCTTCTGAATGATAATGCTGTTATGTACGGGTCTTTATTAATGATCTAGTTTTAGAAACTGTGAATTTAGAAAGTCATTTAAACTGTGAATATAGTTGGATCGGTAATTAGTCGGAACAATAATGATTCGGAACTGTGTATGTGTAGATATTTTTCACTATCAGTCATCTACAACGTAGAATCAGGCATACATGTGCATCGGTCCAAGTTGCCATAACTCATTAGTACAACTAGATGAATACCGAATTCATTGAAGTAGTTAATGTAGTGGTGGTAATATATATAATATATATATATATATATATATATATATATATATATATATCTGCATGACTTTATATAATCCCTTTAGCTATATATAAGTGCTTTTGAATTGTTTTCCAGATTATATCAAAACTACCTCGTACTCATATAGTAATAATTATCATTATTTTCATGTTTTCAATCTCTGGTATTACGGATACACAATATTTATATCTTTACTTAATGAGTAGTCCTTTTCTGTGGGATGCACAAGCAGTTGGTTTGTTCACGTAAGTTTACGTGTACTGGAGTGTATTTCAGTTTTTAAACCAGTTTTTTGTAACTTTAGGAAACTGATTTTCTAAGCATTGTAATTCATAAATCATATGTTTATAGCATATTGGTCATTTTAGCGATACTACCTTGATCAGTCAAAACGATTTGTCATTTTCACTCTGTTGTACCAGCTGCACATGTGCCTAAAGCTCTTGTTCAATCACCAAGTCCAAATCTTAAAACCTTTACTTTGAAACAATTTAATCCGGTGGTACTATACTTTATGGATGAACTAACCAGATCTAAGACGGTGCTTCTTTGGATTTTTGCATGAAATTCATTTACCCGTATGTCTACAAAAATTTTTAGCATTATAGCTGATATTTTTTCGTGATAAAAACCTTAATATTTACTTCATCTTCATTATTCTATGTAAGATGGTGAGAATGTCTAATTGTGTCTTTACTTGGAATCTAAACATTTGATCTTTCAAATACTCTATTTAGATATGTGGTAAATGTTTCAGAAGAATGAAAATTTTCATTCGAAAATACATTGTTAGATCTAATACAATCCCTTTTTGCTAGTATAATGCAACTATGGAATTCACTTAAAACATGTGATGTTTTTGCACCATATTATTTCGAACAGTCTGATCATACTCATACCTGCCAAAGCATTTACACATATGAAACCTCATAAAGGTGAATTACATGAGAGGTTGAATTAATGATGATTTAAAATATAAGAGAGGAAAAATATAATATTCAAACACAAAGAATGTTTGAACGAACAATTGTCTTCATTAACTTTATCATCAAGCTCTATAGCTATATATCCATAATTATTATGTTAGAATGGTCAAAATAAGTAATATATAAATGTAATTAAGATAAGACATTGTTATGAATTGAGTAGAATGAATGTGCAAATCAATCATGAGACGACAGAGATTCAGGGTAAAGGTCTGCTATATTCTTTAAGTATAGGATGACGCATTCGTGGCCCATGGTAGATAGGGTAGTCAAATATATCTCTTTTTGATACAAAGGTTCGATTTTTTGGAGACAACTTGAATGAAGTCCGTTATTTATGAGAACTGTGATTTTGCTCATTTAATTAAATAAATGAGGACTTGATACAGAACCAAGAAGACTTCATCTATTACGGTATTGAGTTCGATATCTGTTAAGTGAAAAAGTATGGCTCTGTTGATTCATTTCGTAATTCTTTTACTAGTCATACTGGTATTTCTTCTTGAGCACTTGTGATGTTTAGACCTATATGGAATCATGGGCTTTGTCGTCTCAGTTGTACTCAATTTCGCAGCATTTTAAATTTTTACAATGGCTGCTTTTAGTCTTTGTTTCGAAATTGTGTTATTTGGTTCCCCCCTATAAGGTAATATGATGCAAACCCTTTTTCGATATTGGTTGATGAAGGAGTCTTGGTTTTAACTGACTTTTACACGGATCGGTAAATTTCTATGGTCAGTCTTAGATCCCCTTCAATCGTACCCATGCTGTAAATCCATATCAATACAAGCTTTTCTCAATGTACTTTGCTTTGCGCCCACCTTTATTGGAGGGTGCCGTTCTTAATCGCTGCCTTCTTGCGGCAGGGTTGTTTTTTACGAAGTTTGGAAGACTAAAAGCGAATTTCTGGCGTTGCGACCGAGTTGGTGCGAACGGGATATCCACCTAGAGAAGTAGGAAAACTCTGATTTCAAACCAATGGTGCTCATAGATATCTTAATCCCAAGGGAACAAATAGGGTTTGAACCTGTTATTGGTTTTCGTCCACCATGAGATCTCATTTCCTAGTGTTGTTCCACTGCATTTAGGTCAAAGGCTCTGTGAGTGTTTACTTAAGAAAACTGCCCCTTTCGGTTCGAGCGACCAAGCAAGTATCTCAGTCCACCTCCCCATGGATTTCGTGTGGCACATATATACTCTAATGCCTCTTTGTACCAACGCTTGTGTTTAGATAAATAAATAATTGTAAATTACAGAAGAATTTGATGTTTTATGGACATTATGGTTCACTTTTGCTGATTAGTGTCAATAAACAGAGAATTTTAGCCAAAGGAATTTTTACCGTTTACCAGCGAATATGAATCTTTAATCTTTCTGAGTATTATTATATTGATCGTTACACTTGTATTTTAACTTATACATCAAGGTATGTTCTATCTTTTTTTTGTTCAGAGGTTTAAGAGACGTATGCTGCACATTTGTGTCTATATTATGTGTCAGTATGATGGTCAAGTTTCATAAACATCAACCAACTAATCATGTCGAAGTAGCATCAATGTCAGATAGAATGAATACAACATTATTTAGTCGTTTAAAATCTGTGGATCAAATTCTTCTCATTATGTTGGTATTTTTTGGATTTATAATTTTTTCTATTCATCAAATCATTATGGGCATAGCTTCTAGATTCACTGTTCCAACAGCAAATATTCTGGTTTATTGCGGTATGGTCTTTTTTTGTCGGATATCTATTTACGCTACCATTACTTTCAATGCTTAATTTGAAAAAAATATAAATCACATAAGTTTAATCCATTTATCGTCTCCAAAGGCCTTGATACGGCCGAGAGTGGGGAGAGTCCGCTCTCCCTCTCGAAATGCTCTCACATAACCGCGCGTACATAGCCTCTGCCAAGGAAGTCCTACTCACTGCCTTCTCGTGGCATTACTGTTGTTTACGAAATTGAGAGAACGAAAAGCGAATGTCCGACGCTTTAACCGTGTTGTTGGACACGGAAAGTTCACCTAGGGGAGTTGGAAAACACTGATTCCAAACCAGTAGTGCACATGGGCTCCAGTATCCTGAGGGAAAAAATGGCGTATGAATCAATCGTTGGTCACCGGCTACCATGGGACTGCATCTCCTCACGATGCTCCACTGCCTTGTGCACCAGACCTTCAGGTCAAAGGCTCCGGGTGTGGCCCCCTAAGAAAACTACCTGCTTCAGTTTGGGCACCTGGGCAGTATCACAGCCCTCACACAAATCAAATGAGATTTGTGGGGCGCATATTTATCTTGTGCTACCTTGTACCAATATTTATGTGTTTAAATAAATAAACATCTTTCGTATATCCTAAGATGTTTTCTCGTTAGTAGTTAGTCGTAGGATTATTCTATAAATGACCTGATATTCATGGATTAATTAATCACTATTCACTTTTATTGCTTTGAACTGTATGATGATATGTGAGTTTTTATTGCTGTAAAAACATGACTAAAATATTCTATCTAAAACGACTACTGACTTACAACTGTAATCCCAATATTAATGCTAGTTGATGTAAGGAAACTGGAGAACAAATCAGAGATAGCATTACACTCGATAGAATCGAGTCATACAATTGATTTCGTTCACACAAAAATCCTTCAAAAATATTTCAATTCTTACAAAGAAAGGCAAACAGCTGAAGCCCTATACATTTGGGCTAATCCAAACAATATTAATAGGAGGGATGAAATACAATTAGCAGTGCCATGGCGGCTAATCATTAATAAGTAAAAACCTGAACTCCTTAACGTTTTTTATCTATTTCGTATTATCTAAATTACAACAATTGCTTTCAGTGATTCTAATCAGTTGTCTTATCGGAATTTGTTAAACAATTCACTGGAACATAAAAAATGACACATACATACAGTTTCAAAATTACACTCTTCAAATTTCACTCTTTTATTATTTTTATTTTTGTTTAATTATCTTCATTTTACACATGCTGTGACAGATATGATTCATATCACATATATTACAAATTGTATGTTTTCCTTATAAATTCACTGATAAGAGACAATATATAGTGTGAATGAAATTTCTCCTCTCACCACTTACGTTTCTATACAATATGTTATATTAACACTTATCATTTAACATCACAAATCTCTTACACAGTAATACATATACCCAGCCTAGACATTATTATGAACATTGATTGGATGACCTATTCAGTGTACAATGAAACGAAGAACCATGTACCTATTTATATTCGATAATTTTAATGTTTGATTATAATTCCTTGAAAAAGCTTGAACCAGATTGCCAGGCGAAACGTTGGATTTACTACAAATTCGTTCACTGAGATTTTACAAATATATATTATTCATACTAACATTCATATTTTCCACTTTGGAAGTGAAGTCGAATACATCTTTTACACTCGTACTAACAATTGATTTGTGCAAAGGTTCTGAGATACGTACTAGCCACTTTGCAATTTCGTGATAAGGGGAATTGAACATATCTAGGACTGGGCGTAGTGGAAGACCTGGTTTATGAACTTTGGGTAAACCATACAGTCGTGGCGTATAAGATCCAGACGGTTTAATAGAATCAAGAATCTATTGTGTAATTATTCCTTTATTCTTTAGATCCTTAAGAGAATTAACTAAACTAAGAAATGAGAAAACCTTGATTAAAAGCAAACCTGATAAAGGAGGAGGCATAGTGCCGCTCATTTTCATGTTATATGTAAATTTGAGAAAAACACATTTTTTGTCATTAATATTAGAAAGGCTTTCAATAATCCTATTGTTGATCTTTCAGACTGAATTTGATCAGTCTTTATTGGTTAATGTGCATTCTGTATGGATTGTCTCGAGACTTTTATTTTATCACAATTTTTATCAAACAGATGAGTTATCGCTAGCATTGGTATCCAGGACATGTGTTTCGTCGTTAGTTGGTTACACCCGCTGATAAGAATTCAATTATGATTATCAACAGCGTAGTAACCCAAACTCTCGCTACTAATGAAATCAATATAATGTCGATTGATGTAGTTATTAGCTATAAGTGGCTCAGGGGATAACACGTTGAACGTTTGAGGTAAAAGTACTGGGTTCGAGTCTCTGTGTAAACGGTAATACTGAGATGCAAATACATCACCCTATTCTTTACAATCATGCTCTCTTCCCTGTTTTGTTGTTTATGATCTTTTCGAATACTCTTTCTATTTTAAGCTTGTTCCTCTTTTTTTACTTTTATTATACAGCTACAATTCCAAGATTTGTCAAAGGTTTTCAAATATCCATACTTCGAACTGTGATATCGAAATGGACAGAAGTCTCTAAACAAGGTGATGATTATATATCGATTGTATGTTTTATTTGTTTTAATCGATTAGTTTCTCCTGATGAATTATTACGGTTTATTTCGTCAAACTATGTGTACTTTGTTCTTGTTCACCTCAGAGAACAAAACTTCATTAAAATGGTTGTTTTAAAAATGAAAATGTAGTGTTACAAAACATAAAGTTATGAATCGTAAGTTTGTTTTCAATGTTCATTTAAGTCTACGTGTGTTGTATCTATACTACCACATGAGCATTCAAACCTATATATGATGATACTTTTATGAGGTGATTGAGTAGCCTCAACTCATGAGCTTGACTCACAATACAATGCAGTAATATAAAACAATGTAAAACAAGTTCTAGTCAAATAAATCGCCTCTTTTCTCAACAAAATTTAGTTTTTAAATTAAATCGAGTGTGCTATCTTGCAGGAGAATTTCCCTGGGATTTTAACTTGTAGCACTCGTTCGCTGCTTTGTCTTTTAATGATAAATCCCATACTTCAATGTATGTATTCTTGATTGTCATACGAGAATATCACAGCCACTTAATGGGACGCTACTAATCTCTTCCCACGCTTCATTTTTATGCGATCATAAGATTGATCGGATTTTGTTATGGTATTAAGAATTTATTTTTACTACAAGTCATGGATGTCTGTGATCGTCACATTGAAAAAAACTTCTATCAATAATGCAATTTGAAATGGTTTGACTATTCCCGTTGTTGAGCTTTGATCAGCCTTTGTTGACATATGTGCATCCTGTGCACATTAGTTTGATATAGCCATTATGATACAAGCCGAGAGTGGGGAGAGTCTACTCTCCCTCTCGAAATGCTCTCACATGGCCAGCGAATATATAGCCTCTGCCAGGGAAGTCCTACTCACTGCCTTCTCGTGGCGGGGGTGTTGTTTACGAAAGTGAGAGGACGAAAAGCGAATGTCCGGCGCTATAACCGGATTGGTGGACACGGAGGGTCCACCTAGGGGAGTTGGAAAACCCTGATTCCAAACCAGTGGTGCACATGGGCTCCAGTATCCTGATGGAACGAATGGCGAATGAACCTGTCATTGGTCACTGGCTACCATGGGACTGCATCTCCTCACGATGCTCCACTGCCTTGTGGATCAGACCTTTAGGTCATAGGCTTGGGGTGTGGTCCCCTAAGAAAACCACCTGCTTCAGTTTGGGCACCCGGGTAGTATCACAGCCCACACACAAATGAATGAAATGATGAACTCAATTGACGATACTATTCCTGCTCACATTAGAAGCAAGACGATTTACATTATTATTATTATTACCGTTATTATTATTATTATTATTATTATTATTATTATTATTATTATTATTATTATTATTATTATTACTTACCATATCGCTAATTCACCCCCTTTTATCCCCAATTTGTGTAACCTTACTTTTCAACTTATGCAGCAGCTCGCTCTTGGTGGAAAATCTATCCTATCTAAACGATCTCCAGTCACTGTCTGGTTGAAAGTGAATACTTCCACCGATAATGAATACTGAAGCAGTCTTTCTGAAACCACGTACGCCGTTCTAGCTGGCTTCCTTCAACGTTCGCACACTAATGCATATCAGACAACAGATAGGGCTGGCTATGTCTTTGGAAGGTCTTAATGTTGATGTTTGTTGTCTATCCGAGACCCGTATTCAAGACTCTAGTGAAGTACTACAAATCCGCTCTCCATCTGTCGCTTCGAAGAGCTTGTTCCACGTGCGCTTATCCGGGGACCCTGTGGCATCTTCGTCTGGTCTTGCTGGCGTTGGTGTCGCACTAAGCGCTAGGGCTGAGGCAGCACTAATCGATTGGATCCCCATTAACAGTCGGTTATGTGCTGTTAGATTAGAAAGTTCCATCAAAGTGAGAAGAAACCGGCGTGAGAAACGGTGTCTTTTCGTCATCTCCGCCTATGCCCCGACAGATTGCAGCCCGGATGCAATCAAGGATGAGTTTTACCATCAGTTAACAGTTCTTCTCCAGAAAGCGCGTTCGACAGATATTGTAGTACTAGCCGGAGACTTGAATGCACAGGTCGGACGTCTAGGCACAGAAGAGAGTCGTTTAGGTGGCCGATGGGGACTTGTTGGTCGCAGGACAGATAACGGGGACCGTTTGCTGCAACTGTGCACAGACCACAACCTGTTTCTGGCCAGCACTAACTTCCGGCACAGTCATCTCCGGTGTGCCACCTGGCGTCCTCCCTCTGCATCCCAAGCCTGGACATCGCGATCAGCTACCGCTGGGTTGGTTGTGTACAAGACTGCCGCTCATTTTGGAGTACCTATCTAGATTCTGATCATTCCCTGGTCTGCGCCAATCTCACCTTACTTTTCAGTGGCCGAAGGATTGACCACCACCAACAGATTGATGTTAGTAAACTGGCTGCAACTTCTGTTGCAAGTAAGTATCGAGCGGAGCTAGCCTGTAGGCTAGCTACCACCCCACCGAAAAGTATAGATGAGCATTGGCTGCATCTTCACGACGCCATGAAAATGGCGAGTAAAGCTGCTTGCGGCTTCGCGAAACGTCCCGCTTACAAGCACTGGGTTTCTTCTGGCTCCTTACAACTGATGAAAGCCCGTCGGTCTACTCCGGGTGACCGTGAGTATGACCACAAACGAAGGCTGTTACGTAATAAAATCGGGCAAAGCTTGCGTAAGGACCGGGAAGCCTGGTGGTCGGAGCGTGCTAATGAGATGGAAGCAGCAGCTGCATCTGGTAACTGCCGGAAGTTCTTCCAACTTATCCGAGCCACTGGCAGCAAGAAGTCTGGTTTGAGTGAAACAATCCACGAGGATGACGGGATGCCAATCACTAACATCTGTCGATGTCCTGGACGATGGGCGGAATTTTTCGAAGGGCAGTTCAACTGGCCTGCTGCCCCGGCAATATCAACCAGCTTGTCCTGCCCCCCATGGCCGGTGACGACTGATCCACCAAACGAGGCGGAAGTCCGCAAGGAACTCCAACTCTTAATACGTTACAAATCACCGGGCCCAGATGACTTACCTCCAACTCTTTTTAAAGATGGTGGTGACCTTCTGACTAAGGAATTGACTGTGTTGTTTGGAAAGGTTTGGGAGCAAGAAAGTGCTCCAACATCTTGGAATGAGTCAATAGTCGTCCCTATCTTTAAAAAGGGTTCACGTTGTTCCTGCAATAACTATCGGGGGATAAGTCTACTTTCGATTGCGTCCAAACTATTGGCTTCTATCATTCTTCGTAGGTTGTTTAAAACCCGAGAACGATTGACTCGCGAGGAGCAGGCTGGTTTTCGTTCTGGTCGAGGATGCATTGATCACATCTTCACCCTCCGCCAAATGTTAGAACACCGTCATACTTATCGCAGGCCAACAATCGTAGTGTTTCTTGATATCAGGGCGGCCTTCGATTCGTTGGACAGGACTGTTCTCTGGGATAGTCTATTGAGGAAGGGTGTGCCTGAGAAGTTCATTAACATCTTAAAGACCCTGTATACGAACACCTCAGGCAGAGTGAGGGCATACAACCACCGTTCTCCCTTGTTCCATTCGAGCAGTGGGGTTAGGCAGGGTTGCCCGATCTCACCATTCCTCTTCAACTTTGCCATCGACGACATCCTGGAAACAGCTCTGGTGGATGTAAGTAATGGCTGTGTGGATCTGTTGCCTGGAGAAAGACTTCTCGACCTTGAGTATGCGGATGATATTGTCTTACTGTGCGATAATGGCCAAGGCATGCAATCAGCACTTAATCAGTTGGCAATCAGTGTCCGCAGGTACGGCATGTGCTTTGCACCCTCCAAGTGCAAAGTACTCCTACAAGACTGGCAGGATTCTAATCCTGTACTCACTCTGGACGGTGGGGAGATCGAAGTAGTTGAGAAGTTCGTGTATCTAGGTAGCTATATAAGTGCTGGTGGCGGCGTGAGTGATGAGATTGATGCACGTATAATGAAAGCCAGAGCGGCTTATGCCAATCTGGGCCATCTTTGGCGCCTTCGTGATGTTAGTCTGACTGAAAAGGTCGGATCTACAACGCGTCAGTGAGAGCAGTTTTGCTCTATGCTTGTGAAACCTGGCCTCTCCGAGTTGAGGATGTTAGACGTCTCTCTGTGTTCGATCATCGTTGTCTCCGAAGGATTGCTGACATCCAGTGGCAACACCATGTTAGTAATGCAGAGGTTCGGCAACATGTGTTCGGGTACAGAGACGGTAATTCAATTGGTGTCACCATCTTGAAACACCGACTTCGGTTGCTTGGATCTGTTTTACGAAAGAGTCTTCTGGTTGTACATTTCAGTCCGCCTTATCTTTTCATCCCTTATCTTCCTACTTTCATTATTTTGTGTGGCGCATATGTATCTGGTGCCCTTTTGTACCAATATATATGTGTTTAAATAAAAAAAAACAAGTTAAAGTAAATTCAGTATAATATGGCTTCCCGTGGAACATTGAAGAACCAGATAATTTTTAATAGTGTAATAAGCATTTGTTTAGGAATTGTTTAAACTATACATGTCTAATTTACTGGACACTCAGTATTATCACAAAATTGCCGTGTTCCAGTCTTCATAAGAAACAAACTGAGCTTTTCAAGGTTAAGTTGTTTGTTGTTTTCAGTTCACAGGGTAAGTTGAAGTTCAGAAATTAGTTTAATAACTGTAACATTTTTCAATGGATCATACGATATAGTTGTCAGTTATGTATTTAACGTTTTCAGGATATTTAATCTTCTGTTCGCAAAAAATTTAATTTTTTAAAAAATTTATTCACTTCTGTTTAATTTTCTTAACATTCACTTTAGGTATGGTAATGTCTGTTATTGCAGTAATGGAACGCCTTGGGGTATTAATTAGTCTTGTAGCTCTCCCAGTTATATACGCTTCGACAGTTAGCACTTTCAAAGGATCGGTATTTTTTGTTTGCTCCTCGTTTACAATTTTGGAAGCTTTAATAGTCTTGTAAGTGTCGTACAAGGAAAAGAACAGTTTGTTTTACATTTTAAAATTGTACATTATAATGACTTCTCAAATTTCATCAATGTTTCAAAATTCTCTGTTACACTTGATAATATGGTCTGTTTGTTTATTCACAGCCGTCTAGTATACCGAATCGAATGCTGAAAAGGATGTCATATAACGTTTTTCAGTCAAATAGTTAGTGTAGTACATCTGGTTCTCAATTAATGAATAAATAACCTAGATAAACGTTTTAGAAGACATAACTTGGTAGACAGCCGACTTACAGTTGGTAAACAACCACATACTTTTGATATTATCTACTTTCGTGAACTAATCTATCCTATTTGTAATTAAATAACATGCGACGTAGTCATGAATAATTTATATTATTCTGTAATTAATGAATGGAGTATGATGGGAAGTAAAAAGTTTATTTGTTCGATATATAGTAAGCTTTTGAAATTTATACTAGACCTAAAATTATATTAAAGAAACATGATTACCGTATTTCTTTTGTAGATAGAGGAACTACTTGTTTTCATTTAATTTTCCATCATATCTCTAGACTAACATATAAATGATAAAATATACCAGTCAGAAAAATCCTCAAATACAACACGGAGAACACCAACACAATCACACTTGATGGAGAAACTCTGGAAGAGGTGGAAAGTTTCACTTATCTGGGTAGCATCATGGATGAACTTGCGGGTTCGGATGTAGCCGTAAAGGCGAGGATTAGCAAAGCAAAAACAACATTCCTACAATTGAAAAACATATGGAACTCATAACAACTGTCATCCACTATTAAAGCGAGAATCTTCAATACTAACGTGAAGACAGTCCTACTGTACGGAGCGGAAACGTGGAGAACTACCTCAACCATCATCAACAAGGTACAATAATTTATAAACACTTGTCTACGTAAGATACTCAATGTTCGTTGACTAGATACCATCACCGACAGCCTACTGTGGGAGACGACAAACCAACTTCCATTTGAAGAGCAAATTAGGAATAGACGTTGGAAGCTGATAGGACGCATACTGAGGAAATCACCAAACTACATCGAGAAGCACGCTCTAACTTGGAATCGTGAAGGGAAACAGAAAAGAGGGAGACTAGAGAACACACTGTGTCGGGAATTGGGAGCAGACATGAAAAGGATGAATAGCAACTGTAAAGGGTTGCTTGGAACAGAGTTGGATGTAGAATCTTGGTGAGTGGTCTATTCTCTTCCATGAGGAGCTACGTTGAAAACCTAATTTAAAAGAAATGTGTTTTCTCTTTATTCATCGTTTTACTGTCCTAATGAGAAATCTCATTTGCCATTGAATAAACGAATTATTTTCCGAAATCTTATCATATTTCTTTAGAAAACTACCACTATATTTATTCACAAATATTTGTAATACTTCTAATTCTTTACAAATTTTCGTCTTTAATAATTAAATGTTGGTTTCATTTTTGAGGAAATCGAGTAATAGATTTAATTAGTTGATTAACTATTCTCTGCTTATACTGTTAACATCAAACATTCATTAAGAATGACTTAGTATTTATTCCTTACATTTAGGTTGGTTTAAATAACACTAATATATATATCCGAGAGGAGTGGTGATCATAAATCAGTACTGACTGGGAAACGGTATACAAATATACATTTTATTTATTAAAAGTTAAATGCATGAACTACCGAATTAACCCTTCATCGCAGTAACTAATACCTATTTTTGTTCTGTATATCCAATAAGCGCCTACTCGATCATGGTTATATTTTCATCCTGATTTGTATTTCCTATTTTTAGAATTTTACCAATATATGCTCCAAACACATTATCATTGGAATCGTAACCAGTTAATTATTGTCAATATCATCTATTATTTTATTGAAGAGGAAAAAAAGGGGACAGGAATCCAGATTTTATTCAAAAAATATATAATCAACTCATTTATTTATTTATTTACTTATAATAAATCATTTATATTTTCAAAACATTTGTTATATTCCTACAATAAATCACCATGTATTTATCTATTTAAACACATAAATATTGATACAAAGGGGCACCAGTTATATATGCACCGCACAAATCTCATTTGATTGGTGTGAGGGCTGTGATACTGCCCAGGTGCTCAAACTGAAGCAGGTAGTTTTCTTAGGGGGCCACACTCGGAGCGTTTGACCTAAAGATCTGATCCATAAGGCAGTGGAGCATCGTGAGGAGATGCAGTCCCATGGTAGTCGGTGACCAACGATTGATTCATACGCTATTCGTTCCTTCAGGATACTGAAGCTCATGTGCACCATTGGTTTGGAATCAGTGTTTTCCAACTCCCCTAGGTGGACCCTCCGTGTCCACCAACCCGGTTAAAGCGTCGGACATTCGCTTTTCGTCCTGTCAACTTTGTAAACACCCCAGTCACGAGAAAGCAGTGAGTAGGACTTCCCTGGCAGAGGCTATATACGCGTGGCCATGTGAAGAGGGAGAGCTGACTCTTTCCACTCTCGGCCGTACCAGAGCATTTCGAGGCAAATAACCATATATTGAGAAAAAAAATTGATCTTTAAAAACAAAAGTTACTCTAATAATTAGGGGACTGAAAACATTGTTATTCAGTTTTAGTTTTCAACTCTTGAGCATTGTAGAGATTAAAAACATTGACTACTAACCAAATATCATTTCGAACAATTGATCTACTTTTTCTAGCTTTAATTATGATTTTGTTACATAGCATGATCTCATCGAAACATATCCACTCAACCCCATATATAACTGACTACATAGGTCACTAATTTTTAATATATCTTAAAAAGTAAACATTTAAAATAGATTATTATCGGATTAGGCGTTCGTGAGAAGTAGTTTGGTTTTAAGATAATTTTTCCTACCGAATGATTGTGACACATTGTATTAATCCTGGGATTTATCTATAGCATAGCCGTGTAAATTATATGATACGATATACAAAGACTTACATATTACTTACTGGAAATAATAGTTGATCAGTTTCTATTGACATACTTACGTCGTGAGTCAGTTGCCTTGATATCGCAGTTTAGTCTCATTTTTTTATCAAAGTCAGATAGGAACTAGAAATGGAATCCAGGACTAACGTTTGATCATATTTAGAACTCGTCAGCTGGATATACTTGCATCTTGGTGTTGATATTCATATTGAGGCTCGAACACACTATCTTCAGTTTTAATCATTAAGTAAATAGCTCATTGGAGTCCTAGTTTGGATATTAACACTGGAATGTATTGTCATCATAATGTTCTTTTCATAGGTAGACGTTCCTACTGGAAAAGTTTACCTTAATACAGTTAGAGTAAATAATAATCAATACTAAGCACAACAATCTGTGTTATTGCAACTGAATTTAAGTTTTTTATCGTCATTGTTATTGTTTTTCAATTGTTGTAATAAATTAACTACTAAATCAATGTTTCTTTATATCCTCATCATCTTCGGAATCAGAGGTATTTACATGTATTTTCTTTGGGATTATACTGTTTATCAATAAGTAGTTTAGTTTATTTGACATAATTTAATGTCAGCCACACTATAAAATAAAAAGTATCCCAAGGTTTCAATAGTTCTTAAGTGTATCTTAATGGGGAAACAACAAGTAATCCGATGTCAAATTAGAGATAAAATGCCTCCGATTCAATATGTTCTCAGAATATTTTTGAATCTGATTCCTCTGATAGAATACATCTTCATGATAAATCTGAATATAATGCCATCGTTGCTTTTATATCAGTTGACGAAGTGTGAACAGAATATTGGTGAATTCAACATAGATTCATCCAGTGAGGGCTGATCATGCTGATTGTGAACCGATTTTACAACAACGAATTAAATTTATCCAAGATTATTTGTCTCCACGTGTCACATCTCACAAGCCAAAGGAGTATTATCGACGATGTCAGTCGCTATCTATTTTAAATGATCGCACCATATGTGTCGGCAGTGTGGTAGTTCCGAGGACGTCCATTATAAAATTACGACAGTTATTTTGTATTTTTCGAGTTCCAAATGTTTTCGTGGATATTAGTTGGCAGATGGATCAAAAGAGCGACATAATTAATAATAAGATGTTTTACTATTAGTTGAAATTATTGAATATTAGTCGTATTTAGAGTTTAAGATTCATTTATTTGAGAGTAGGCTGACTTCATCCAGGAAACTTTTTTGGTTTACAGATTACTTCATAATTTTAAAATTCTCCGATTTTTATCTTCTGTATAATTTACTCAGTTGAAATACGTTATAAATATAACTTATCATTTATTGAATTAATCATATGCTCACTAGTGACTGGCATCGAGAGGTATTTCCTGGAGTTCTAGTGTGAAGTAGTAACCAGTGGAGTTCAACTAGGTCTATTGGGAGATATCAACTCACTAAAGACATTGGTGAATGGTTGCTCAACTTCGTAATTTGGTTGAATTTAGAGATTAATACCGTTGGATGCCAGCTAAGTAGTCTAGTTGTTAAGCACTCGCGCGCGAGACTGATAGGTGCTGGGTTCGAATTTTTGGAGGCGAGATCGCGGATGCGCACTTTTGAGAAGCTCCAAAATAGGAAGAAATGGCCGTTCAGTGCTCCCAGGTTTTCCATGGTTGTCTAGCTTCAATTGACTCATGATTTCAACTATACCAAATTACTATAATCTCCACATAACGTCCTTCTGATAATCATACTTTTGTTTGATCCATCCATGTGAATATGATTCTCACAATCTAACGATTTGTTTCATTGATCGACGAACTACTTTTCATTGAACAAAGAATCACTTTAACGAAACACATTACTATTGACATATTTTACTTCAACTATTATTATAGTTTTTAGTAATCAATAATATTTTAAATATTTATAACCCAACCTAAATTTGCGTTCCAGGACTATCAAAAGCACAAATTTCTTAAATATAATATGTAAACTAGTTTAAAGGAAGGCATTTGACTTACAGTCTTAACCTTATACTGTCTACAGTACTTCTGTTTTATTAAACTTGAACAGATTTCTATAACTACTTAAAATAATAAGTTTAACTAAAACGTATGACTAATAAAATACATATTGGGCTGACAACAGAATAAAATTGCAAGTGGAATAATGAGTTCTGATACACAGCAAAAAGTATTTGAAAACTGAACAAAATGATCCTTTTTTCTATTAAAGTAAATAAATACCAATATCTAGCTTAATTTTTTTGGTTATATTAACCAGTTAGAATAGTATCATTTATTTGACTAATTATATACTAATAAGATGTTTTCATAAAGTGTCATGATTCCATTATTTTCACATTTATAATCTCCATAGTATTAACCGTAATTCATCCAGATACATCAATAAACTACAACTCATGATAATGAATGCATTTCACTGTCATATTGACAATTTATTCATGTTTCTGATAATAATAATAATCATATGCTCACTAGTGACTGAGGTAAATCCAGGAGTTCTAGTGATATGCAGTGACCAGTGGAGTTCAAACCACGTCTGTTGTGAGATAGGAACTCACTGAAGACAATTGGTGAACGGTTGCTCAATTTCGTGGATTGGTTAGAGTTAGACATAAACACCATCAGATGCTGGCTCAGTGGTTTATCGGTTAAGTGCTTTGGCGCGAAACTGGTAGGTCCTGGGTTCGAATATCGCGTGTGCGGGATCAAGGATGTTCACTGCTGAGTAGTCCCACAGTAGGACGAAACGGCCGTCCAGTGCTTCCAGATTTTCCCTGGTGGTTTAGCTTTAATTGACTCACGCTTTCAATCATTCATGTTTATAAAAATGACCGCTTATTTTTTTGATCAGCAATACAATAAATTTTTAAAAAAACACTGATATATTTTGAAGGGTTCTTACATCATTATTCATAGTTTTAAACATTTCATTCATTCAAACAATGTAAAGCAATTAGTACCTTTGATAAATTTCGATACAGTGTAGTAAGAAGACGAAGATTATCAGAAGTATGTGATGTATACGCGTAATACATTTCGAACAATCTGATCACACATATACTTGTTAAGAACATCAATGTATAAAAATAAAAGGTCAACTCGACTGGAAATGTGGGACGGGGGTAAGAGTAGACAAGGATAATAATAATAATGTGAAAACAATTCGAAACCTAATCACTCTGCATAATAAGTTAATATTACCAGGGTAAGTTTAAGGTGAGAACAAACTATTTTTGAATACACAAAGGGGGTTTGAATGCCTGAGGCTTCAATAAACCTTAGTATACGTATGTGCAATTATTAAGCTAATTTAGAGAAATTTCAATAATATAATCTATTAAATCATGAAATTGGTTCATACCTTTTAGTATAAAAAACATACACTAGGATATCATCTTTTGAATATACAATAATGTATAAAAGGGAAGTAAATGAATGTTGACGACTTTCATAATTCGTAAAACAACTAGTAATTTTTATTTTTAATTCTTTTATTATACCCTCAAGTTCTTCATGTTTTTGTATTTCACCAGAAATGGGAGTGAACTAAAATTAATTTTAGATGAAAAACAACAATTGAATCAAATTACAATAATGAATTTTTATAGGTAACTCAAAAGTTAGTACATTTATATTTGATTCTATTTTTAAGTTAAATAATCGACTTGTAAATTAGACTAATTGGAGTCTCTCTCTATCTACTTAAGCAAAGATGGATAGTGGCTAGCAGTGGAATCCAGGACGCGCGTTTCGTCCTATTTGGGACTCGTCAGCTGGATGTACCTGCATCTCAGAGTTGATGTTCACTCTGGGACTCGAACCCAGTACCCTCGCTTCAAACGCCATCGCGTTATCCACTCGGCCACTGAATCCTGATAGCCACTTGCTTGTGCGATGGGGTGAAGTTTATGAACAACGAAATATAAATGCTAATGTTTGAACGAAGAATATTCTTTTAGATAAATTCTCTTCAGGTTCTACAATTATATATCCAAATTAATAAATAAAAAAAATGACCAGGTTAAAGACAGAATACATAGTTGAAAGCATGTAAATTTAGGATTGTCAAACCAAATAGAATAAAATTGTTAATGTTGATATGACTCATATAGAATGGTCACTTGAATCTGTATATATGTTAAGTGAACATTTTAATATCTGTGATAAGAATAAATATGGGTCAGATAGGGTGAGAGAGATATGATAGTGCAATTTCAATTCCATCAAGTGGAAGATTAAATTGTGTCAAAAATTAGTAAGACGTAATAAGGAGGGATCAATGTGAAGTTAATGAATCATGTCTAGGGGAGATTAATAATGAAGTTTAACCAATAATAATAATAATAATAATAAATGCAAAGATTTGTGAATAAAGATAAGAGAGACAATTCCATTTGACTACGAAAGGTCGTAAGCACATAGTCAAATTAGGCCATCCAATATCTAAGATTACTGTTGAGTAATTGGCTTTGTGGTTGGCCAAGGGAGGAGCAGGGGTTGAAGATATTGATTCTGTACGCATAGCTCCGGTTTCTTCATCCTGATGGCTACTGCTTCCGCCGTTTGAAGGATTTTAAGCCTAACAAGCTTTGGCAAAAAATTACTGACCCTATAAATAATTGAAAAGGACTGGTTTATACTGGCTCTATGACCAGTTTGTACTAAATGGGCCAAAATCGAGCTGTTTCAAATGTTAATTTAGCATTTATTATTTTGATGCGGCAGAAAGCCGTGTAATTGATAATGAAATATGTTTTTGAGTTTAATGCTTTTCTGCAAAAATATTTTATCATCAACTAATATGTAATCTATATTTTGGAATGTTTTTTTCAAAAGTTGGTTAGATGTTTTTGAAAAACATATGAATGCAAGTATAAGCAAAGATGGATAGTGACTAGCAGTGGAATCCAGGACGCACGTTCCGTCCTATATATCGAAGCTATACGCACAATATGCACATATGTCAAATGGGAGACTGACTAGTTGCAGTCCTAAACATCAATGGAAAGATCCAAACAAACAATACTAAGTGAATTTATATAAGAGCAAGATTTATGTATACCTACAAATGTTTCCTTTTTAATATTAGGTAGTTGCCTATAGAATTCCATAAAATTAAAAATTTCAGAATCAGGTCAATGACACAGTATACATTTTTATGAGCCTAATAATTACAGTTTATTTATCGGTAATCATTTAATTATAGATTAATTTTCAAATGCTTCAATATACTTCGAATCAACATAATAGTAATCTTTTAAATACTATAATTTGATTATGAATAAATCTATCATCATGTCTTCGATATGATACATATAATTCCAAAGCTTTCCCTAAACAACTAATTGGACATGTCCTCAAGTATTTTTCGGTTGATTTTTATCTAATACAATTTTTACTACGAAATACTAACTGTACTAGATTTTTTATTAAAAGGGGAATAATATTTCAAGTTCATCTTGTTTGTAAGTTTTTCCCTGTCTTTACACGAGGAATTTACTGAAGCAGAACTATGAAACGACACTTTATTAGATACTCACCATCGAATCATTATTCCAACTGAATAGTGAGTATCATTAAGTGAATAAATTTAAAATTTATGTGTTTAAGACTATGAAGTATGATTTCTTTCCTCAATCACAAAATGTTGAAATAATAGAAATAGAAGTTTTACTTACATTGCTGCACATATTGCAACAAATAGCATTGATGCGCATACCAAAAATACAGCACCAGGAAAGTATGAAAGAGTAGCTGAATATACCAAAGGTAAAGCGCTTACACTAATTAATAGGCCGATTCTTGATATGAAGGAAGCGAATGAAAGAATTAAACCTTCAAGGGATAATAAATATGATTATTATTAATAATTGTTAAAATCATAGATCAATAATTTCTTCAGTTTGAAAGCACTTTGTATGTTGATCAGATTTGACATAATGTCTCCGTTAAATTGAATATTTCAGTGAGATTAAAATTTATGTACGAACCAATCAGATTCAGGATAACAGGACCTGGATTTCGGCCCAAAATTCGTTCATTTATTTGGCTAAATAGCGTTTTATGATTTTAGCTTATGTCAGTTCATGGTGAAAACCCTAAATATAATTTCCAACCCTACTCATTAACTGTAAATCATAATTCTTATTCTTTATACAGCTTCATAAACCTTCATTTAACCCTAATAAGTAGGTGGACTTCCTCTAGGTCACTTTAGCATCGCTCAAACGTCATCCATAAATTATAGTCTCATTAATATCTCATATGACACTTAAAAAGTAATGACATACAAGCAATCTGGTCAAGTTTAAGGTCGTTATAAAATCATCAAGTCAGAGAGCATTTTTCCTATTTTTCTTAATTATCTTTATTAATTCTTATTTATCATATCCATGATCACATCACCCACTAGCCTTATCCCTATTCCCGTGTTATTAAAATATGTACTTGTGATAAAATATGATAAGTTTAGATTTCTAATCGCAATATTGACTATTTCATAGCTAATAAATGTTTGTAAATAGGTGATAGGACAATAAATTGGTTTACTGCTATCTTCATTCACAGAAAATTAACTGAGTTGTATTTTAAAAAAAATAGAAAATGATATCACTTAGTGGTCTCCTATAGTGTTAGTACAAAGTTATTTTAAATTTACTATGAACCTTTGGGTATCATAAAAATGTATCAAAATAAGTTGATTGGTATCATTAGATATCATTAACGTAGAGAACATATTTATGGTTTTTGAGAAGATTGCATGGATATTGAAAGACCTATAGCTCATTGAAATTTTGTCTAATTGTTTGATCCCCTGTTGCTTATTATTGTTATAAAATGTATCATGACAATAAGAAACTTGGATAATACTCTTTAGAGTTTGATTTTGTCTATATCTGTTATTTATGATGTTTGATAATAAAAGTTTACAGAAAACGTAATAATCATTTGAAAATTATGCATACAGATGTAACTCGCCTTTTCTCTGAGTCCCACTCCAATTGGTGATCAGTGTACGCAATAAAGGGAAATTAATATTCTTCGCTAGTTTTGGAACTAAGCCTGTAAATGTAATAATACATGAGATATTTAGCATGATTTCACAGTTATTTAGTTAGCACTGAGCCTTGACTATATAGCTACTAATTAAATTTTCATAAAACTATTGAGTGTTAGTGAATCATTTTATCAAGTAATCTAAGCATTGTTAATCAACATCATGAATCTATCAATGTCTAACTTATAGGTTTCCCATGGTGGTCTAGCTTCAACTGATTTATGATCTCAACTATTAAAATTAATATAATATCCACAAAAACCCCTTCAGATATTATTCAACATATGTCCTAATGAGAAGCAGTGACCAGTGGAGTTCAACCAGGTCTGTTGTGAGATCATAACTCACTGAGGACAACGATGAATGTGTCGCTTAATTTCGTGGATTGGTTGAAGTTAGACATTACCACCGTTGGATGTTAGTCCAGTGGTTCTAGAGGTTAAGCGCTCGCGCACAAGACCGATAGGTGCTGGATTAGAATCTCGCGAGGCGTGATCGTGGTTGCGCACTGCTAAGGAGTCCCACAATTGGACGAAACGGCCGTCCAGGGCTTTCAGATTTTTCATAGTGGTCTAACTTCAATTGACTCAGCTATTAAAAATACATTAATTCAATAAAATTACAATACTTACCAATATAAACAATTGTATTAGCTGTAAATGATGAGAATAAGTAGGCTATTGTCATTAAAATTCTATTTAATAACATTAAATTTAATGCAAATATAAGTAAATTGAATAATGTTTTTTGAAGCGTAAAATTGATTTTATTTTCAGCCAGTTTATCATCATTATCATCAGTCGACTCATGATTGTCTTTATTATTCAAACGTGTTGATTCAGATAATTGAATTCTTGATAGTATATTTACAATTATTATAGATAATAATGCTGAGCATGCTTCTGTTATACCACTAAATGAATAGATAGATAGAAATATTAGAATAGAATAAGTACCATAGTACAGAACATGTTAACATGTTAACATGTTAAAAATATCATTGTAATGTTTAATGAAAGTGACATATAACTGATTAAAGTGTAAGCCTATTACAGATTTATTCCCTTCATCCAGATGTACATTTTATATAAATATTCGTTCATTATTTATTTTAATCAGCAGTTTTCATAAACATACACCTTACTAAATAATGAGATATATCAATTGGAAGGAGTAACATCTATTATAAGAAAGAAAGTATCAGTTACTTGATAGATAATAAACATACCAACCAACAAATATGAAAAATAAATATGCAAAATACCTACGCTTGAATTCTAAACTAGTGTGTTATCGAAATTTTTAAACGAATACATAAATAATCTTAATAATTGAAACCAAGAAAATATAAATACATAAATTAATGATTATTAAGGTATCATTGATATTACATACTCAATCTATACTTCTCGGAAAAAACTTAACATTTGATGACGGTAATCTGATCAAACTATTCTACTAATACGGTGGTTTATACTATTTATGTCGACAGAAATAACTAGTATTTAACACCGGTCGGAAGTGGAAAAGATGAAAACAGGAGGCTAAGGAGATCAATTTAAAGAGAATAGAAATGAAAATAAAAAGAATTTTGGACTGGAAGAATCAAACAGAATGTAAATGACAAATGAAGTATTCAGTCTGTGGTTCTCATATTTTACCAAGAGGTTTTGTAATTTTGTATTTAAATACAATCGGTTTTTCTATCTCTGTTCTCGTTCGCTGCAGTACCAACTATTTGTTTTTAATGATTACATAAACCCCAGCAAAACTTAACTCTCTTTTTGATTATAGAATGATTTTACGTTAATCCAATGGACGAATCAAATTTAGATAAGTTAATCATCAATTTTTCCAGAGTTTCACATATCTGTAGTAAGAAACAATGTTCACTGGGAAAAGTTTAACTCGACATAAAGCATTAACAATCATTTAGTTGCCTAAATGAGTGAATATTTAAGTTAATTCTGTAGTCTTGAACAAAAGTATTTTGAAATTATAATCTTGAATTCTTCATTAGTTAATTATTCATGATTTTGTTGGAGAGGAAATTAACCTACAGTTAAGTTTCATCAGCTTCCACTTCTCACTATTTCGGAATAATAAATAGAGAATATTGAATGATAAAATAATATGACTGTAGTAAACTTAATAGTTTAAGCTTGAACATGTAAACCAGTCTAATATTTTACATAGATTATGATTTATGGAAAAAAACAATTTGAATTTGTAATTCGCCAGAAGCCAGGGTTTCTCTGGGATAGATACATTTTCTACATAAGAGCTCCATGATTCTGATTTTAGACTGTTCAAACCTCTTCTCTTGATGCACCATATAGGCTACTAGTTGCTCCAAAGAAATATTCATTTTAGTTTTCCCCATCACCTTTGATAAGTCTTCTTATTGAATGTTAGATTTGGTTCCTAAGCTTTTCTAGTAATTTTATCATTCTATATTTGTAAGTTAAACTTTACTTTGTTGAATAATGAATAACTGTACATTATTTGGTTTTTTTCCCTTAATGATGGTAAGCGAAGATGAAAGTAATCAATAAATAAAATTCTTATGAATTTCATTAACAGACAGCCTCCAAAGTTCATCTGTTTTAGATTTTTAAGTTATTATTTTCACTTATGGTAATCAACATTTCAATCAATAATATACTCAATATATAAGAACTTTCGTCTAAATTAAAGCGAATAGTTTCACAGTATTTGGGCGCCGAGTTGATGTAAGACATTAAATAGGAATAATATATTTCCTTGAAAAAGCTTGGACCAGATTGCCTAGCGAAACGTTGGATTTACTTCAAATTCATTCGCTGAGATTTTACAAATATATTAGTTCTATTTAATGTATTAATATACTCATACAAATATATCTGTCCTTTGAATTAAACATTATTTACCTCGTTCAGTACTATCTTTCTTCTATATGTATACTGTTGTTATAGTATACGTGATGTTATGATTTCTGTCATAAGGTACTATATTCTTTAGTTTGAAAAAAACTTCATAATCAAAGATTTTTCAGGATGGGGGTTTTGTGGAGATTTTAGTTATTTTATATAGTTGAAATCATAAGTCAATTAAAGCTAGACCATCAGGTTTTTCAACTATTAAAAAAAGGTATTTCAACAAGTGACATAACCTACGTGATTTAAATTGAGACATGGTATTAAATGTTTTATATGATTGAAATATTCCATTTATATAACAATAACCTACTTGTTTATCACAAATATAGTACGTTTCTTAATCATTACATTCTTATAATAGTTTAATAATATTTTTTTCAGTAGTGTTAGTTATTTTCTTGTCCTGTGTGCCACTGATGTTGACAGATATAAGTAAAATAATGCGAAACTTAGACCCATAGCAATAACCTCACCTTTCCTCAAAATAATGGAAAAGTTACTGATACAACCACTTCAACCTGCAATAAAAGAGCACTGTGATCCATTTCAGTTTGCTTACAAATGCAAAAGAAGCACATTAGATGCCGTTGCTGTTCTGCATCACAATATAGTGTTCGGGTTGGAAAAGGGTAAGAAGTATGTTCGATGCGCTTTCCTGGACTTTACTTCTGCTTTTGATTCTATTCCAAGACGCCTCTTACTTAACAAGCTGATCAGCATCGACACTGACAGCTGGATAACCAATTGGCTATGTTCCTACCTTTCTGGAAGAGAACAGTACACTGTCTTTGAAGGAAAGTGTTCAACATCTCTACTGTCTACTGTAGGTGTGCCACAAGGAGCTGTTCTTTCACCTCTGCTCTTCTCTTTCTTTTTGCATGATCTGCCATCTTCCACAGAAAACACTTTTGTAAAATATGCGGACGACCTCACCGTATGTATGCCAATTTCTACCTCCTTACATCCTATAGAAATGAATGACTTTTTATCTCGTATTGAAAGGTGGTCTGTTGGTAATGGTCTCTTACTCAATCCATCTAAATTTCAAGCTGTTAACTTTAGCTTGAGATATGGACAGAACCTATACTCTATGTTGGGATCCCATAATGCTTGTGCCATTGGAGACTCCTTAATAAACACAGTGTCGAGGGTCAAATATCTTGGTGTTACTTTTTCCTCTGATCTTTCTTGGTCTTCTCATGTTCTACTGTTATCGAAAAAGTTTACCGTTTGACATACTACATAAAGAGGCTGCATGCTTTTGGGATTACTCGCCAGTTACTCTTACAATTTGTAAATTCCTGCATATTACCTATTATTTTATATTGTTCTCCATTATTCTTTCCCGGGCTTTTGAGAAAAGACTTTGCTATTTTGCGTAGAATGCTGAAGGCAGTTTGCAAGGTATGTGGTGAATCTTTTGAAGTCATTGTTAATATGCTTGTGGATAGACATCTTAAGTCTTGCAAACTCTTGGCAGGTGTTATCTTATCAGATACTAAACATCCGCTTCATTCATATCTTTCTCCTTGTATATCTTCTGGTAGAACGAGACGTAAAAACATTAAAATCCATGCACGCAAGCAAATCTATAAAAGTTCTGTAATACCTTACCTTGCAAATTTACTTTGTGACGAACAGGCTGTTAGAGTTGACCTAGTAAATAACCTGTCTTCTTAAGCATGTCTCAAATTCGATAATTTGTATAAACTCAGATTTTCCTAAACCTTTTTTTAGTTTATTTCTGTTCTGTTTTTTTTGTTTGTGTTTTTTTTGGTAAAATACTTGTTGAAATAACTCGTGCTGAGAATTCTATATTGTACCAGATTATAATATTGAATAAAGCCATTAATAATAATAATAATAGTATGTATCATCAATAGAAAGTGAAATGTCTTGAGGCAGAAGGTTAACATGATCAAAGAAAAAAGAATGAGAACAAAGAATGATTGGTGTGGAAACGAAAGAACAACGAAGTCTGGGACGATTGATTGACATTTTGAAAATCAAGTATTTACTGTATGGTTCTCAGGCTTTAATAAGATGTTCTGTAATTTTGTATTCAAATACATTCCATTGTCCTCACTTGTGTTCTCGTTCATCACAATTCTCGAACTTGATTTTTCATTATCCATGGCTATGATGTCAAATAATTATCACAAATGAGGTTTTACAGTGAAGGTTACCTGATCCTAATGTCTACATAGAGAATTATTATTTCATTGTTTCAATCTTACTGGATATATGTTAGGAGGCTGATTTACAACATTTTTGAGCATCTTATTGCTTAAATTATAGTTAACCAAAGTCACCAGTCTCACTCAATTACTTATTTGTTTCCGCAACTTTAACAAACGATTAAAATGTTCACAAAACAGTCGTAATATCGTAATTTATTGGTTTCAGATCTTAATATCCACCAGTTATAATAAGTATTGTAGCTGCTTAGTATGAGCTGCATCGAAAACAACTTTGGACATCAATCTCTATCGTTAGGTTTCACGTGTAATTTATTGATCAAAGCCGAATACATAAATGTTTACTTGATAAATAAGTTATTTCAGAAATCATTTTAATCATATGAACTTAGATATAATCAGACCTAATTCTGATTGATGTCTAACAAAGTAAGTTTATTTATCAGCATTTTAGCCATTATTATTTTCAATTTTTCCAAACACCAGGGAACTTTTTCAAGTTTACAGTTTACAAGCCTAAGAAGAAACCAAGTAGAAAATTGTGTACTATCCAATAAGATATATCTATTGTATTTCAAAATACATTAATAGGCAAACAGATAGGTATTGAGTTAATGCAATTTAGATACATATTTTCAGTTTGTTTATGAACATTGATTGTATTGTCCATAAACTAACAAAAGGTCACCGTTCATAAATTCTTATCTTCTTGTCAAAGAATCAATACATCAATGTAACAGAAACATAAGATTTTTCTGAAAAGTCAACACTGAAATTTAATGAAATGATGTTTTCATTGTGAAATACCTTACCATCGTTCGATTTTCATGAACAAAAGAGAATAAGCAAAGTAATTGCAAACAAAATATGCTTCCTATTTTTTTCTTCAGATAACATTTAGAAATATTTATTTAGTTTTGTAAAAAGAAATACAGAGCTGTTTATTTGACATCAAATACCTTTATTAACACGTCAAGGGTAAAACCAGTAAACTATTGATTTAGAGAATAGGAGCCTAAATTAATGTTAATTTCGGTAAACGTAAGTTGCCACTTTAAATCCAAACAATCTGAAGAGAACTAATATTACTTCAATATGATTTCTTAATTATTTATTATTTAATTATTAAACAAATAAAACTAATAATTCACCTTGTCAAAGTTTTTATTGTTGTAGATGTTAAACGTATTTCTGTACACAAATAAAAGATTTCGAACTAGGGTCATATTAGAAATATTATCTAAAAGAAATTATGTTAATATGAGACAGTTTTTTTGGATTATAAATAGTGATTTGGTTAGATAACAAAATCATTTTGTGTTACATCTAAATTGAGAATTGACAAATTTTCTACTCATCTTTGTCCAGGTATCAAATGTTTGCATTAAAATGTGCGCAATCCATATTAGCTATTATTCTGGAGATTTTCTGATTAATATAAAGTGAGGAAAACATGTAGTCCTATTTATCAAAGAGAAGTTAAAGCTTAAACTGACATTGTCTGACCACATTAAGCCATTGTTCGCAGAGAAATGGGTTCTGGACTTATTGAAATGAAATGAGTGCTTCTTTTACAACACATTGAATGCTTAACTAAAATCATCAGTCTAACTGTCTATTAATCCGTTCGACAATTTAACATACCCATCCATCGGGCGGTCTGTTTAAATATCTGAGCTACCCGTTCCTGCCATCTAGATATTTAAACAAATTATCTGTTGTTTTGTTTGTTTTAACACATCGTTATGTCTGTTGATCACATAACCCTTTCAGGTGCATTTATGAGAGGTTTACGAATTTTCTCTGTACAAGTTACAAATAAGCTGAATCCGAGACATCGTGATTGCTGGCAATATAAATTTAAAAGAATGTACATCATTCAGACGTCAATTCCTGAACTGTTAACATCTAACTGGCGATCATCCAGTACCTATCCTTAGGACTGATAAAGAATTAAGAAACGGAAACTTTTCAAAATAATTTGTGCTGAGAATTCTATAATGTGCCAAAAATATGATTATGAATAGTACTACTACTACTACTACTACTACTACTACTAATAATAATAATAATAATAATAATAATAATTGTTATTATTATTATTATTATTATTATTATAAGATTGATTTAGGTGACCAAGTCTGTTTGATATTGAGCTTTTACTGAATTAAACATTTTCTACCCATTTAAAGCGAAGCTATCTTTTGTATTCACATCGTTCCTTTAATTTCAATTGGAGCTTAAAAACAAAATAACTCCGCCTGTAGATCTTCTAGAGTTACTGCCGGTCCCAAGACTTGGTAAGTGAGCAGGGTTTAGGATGAGGTCGCAAGCCCCATTCCGTAGAAAAATGTCTTCCCAAAAAAAGCCAACCAGATCAAACAAATTAAACCATAAAAATCCTGACCTCCGAGTTGAAGGATGAAATATGACGCTTCATGATGAAAGCCGAGATTCTTGGGAAGTCACAAGGCCGATGCCTAACAAACATATCAACAATTTTTATGGGCACATGGAACATTCAGACAATGTGGGACATCGGAAAGACCAGTCAAATAGCAACGGCAATGCGAAGAAACACATTAACAGTATTCGGAATCAGCGAAACCCATTGGACCCAAGCTGAACATCAAAGGCTAGATACGGAAGAGTAACGGCTGTACTCCGGTCACGTTGAGGAAAATACTACACACACTCAGGCAGTTGCTCCGAGGCTGTCCAAAATGCACTTATCGAATTGGAATCTCATGGATCCAGGATTTTCAAAGCATCATTCAAAACAAAGAGAGGAAATCACAATGACTATTATCCAGTGTTATGTACCCACCAATCATAGCAACGACGACATTAATGATCAATTCTAATTGACGCTACAATCAATCATGGTGAAGTGTTCAGGGAAGGATCTGACCACCCTGATGGGAGACCTAAACGCCAAAGTTGGAATGAACAACACCGGATATGAAGATATGATGAAACCACATGGACTAGGAGAGAGAAATGAAAATGGGGAGAGTTTTACTAAATTGTGTGCATTCAGCAACTTGATTGGACTTGGCAAAATATTCTCACACAAACGCATACACAAAGGTACATAGATCTCATCGGATCACATCATGGACAACCAGATCACTCATATTTGTATCTATAAAAAATTCAAAAGGTCAATGAAAGACGTGAGAAACAGAAGATGAGCTGACACAGCTTCAGGTTAACTCCTGTTGGTTGCAAAGATCGACCTGAAGCTAAAGAAGCATTGGATAACTAGACAAACAGTATCACAAAGTTTTAATACAGACTTTCTTCGACATACTGACAAACTCACATAATTCAAGATAACTCTCAACAACAGGTTCCAAGCTCTATAAGATCTACTGAAAGAAGAAACTACGATGGAAAACAACTGGAAAGGGATAAGTAAAGCACTAACTTCAACGTGTCAGGAGGTTCTGGATCGCAAGAAGCATCATCATAAGGAATGAATCTCTATGGGAACCCTGGACAAGGTTGAAGAAAGGAAGAATAGGAAAATAGCAACTAAAAACAGCCAAACAAAAACAGAGAAAGTCAAGGCACAAGCTGGGTAAACTGAGGCAAACAAGCAAGTGAAGAGGAGCATTAGAACCGACAAGCGGAAACATGTGGAAGAGCTAGCAACGACAGAGGAAAAAACTACAACAAGAGAAAATATGAAACAACCATATGATACAACGAAGAAACTGGCAGGAAGATATAGCAAACCGGAGAGAGCAGTCAAGAACGAAGAAGACAATATAATCACTTAAATTCAAGAAAAGGGGAACACATGTGTAGAACACTTTGTGGAACTAGTCTCGCAGAACCAACCGCACATAAAATCATCACCTACAGACCTAATAGATTTCACTGCACCAACGATTGAAGAAATCAGGATGGCCATCAGACTAATCAAGAATAGGAAAGGAGCAGGACCCGACAATATACCAGCTGAAACACTGAAGTCAGACATAGAATCAACTGCAAACATATTTCGCGTTTTATTCAGGAAGATTTACGAGGAAGAACAAGTGCCGATGACAGACTGGAAAGAAGGACATTTAATCGAGACACCAAAGAAAGTAGATCAGAGCAAGTGTGAGAACTACAGAGGCATCACACTACTGTCAGTACCAGGAAAGCTTCTCAACAGAGTGTCGCTGAACCGGATGAAAGACTAAGTAGACGCTCAACTTTGAGATCAACTGACCGGATTCCGTAAAGAACGGTCGTACGCAGGCCTAACGTGACACCATGGATCATCGATGAACAAACAATTGAATGGAACACGCCACTGTATATCAACACACTTGATTACGACGGAGCAATTGACATTGTGGATAGGAGAACATCGTAGTAACTTCTTCGACACTATGGTGTAGTTGAGATGATTGCCAACACCATCCAGAATTCATACAACTGACTACACTGAAATGTCGTGGATGGAGGACAGCTGTAGATGCATTCCAATTGAGGACCAGAGTCAGACGAGGCTGCTTACTCTCCCCCTCCCTATTTTTTCTAGTGATTGACTGGATTATGAAGACCTCCACATATGAGGGAAGGCACGGAACACAATGGAAATTTCAGAATCAATTAAAAGATTTGGACTTTGCAGATGATCTGGCTCTTCCATCCCATACATACGAACAAATGCAGTAGCCTCCGAGTCAGTAGGCCTCAACATACACAAGGAAAAAAGCAAGATCCTCAGACAGAGCTCGGAGCATACTAACGGAATCTCACTTGATGGAGAAGCTCTGGAAGAGGTGAAAACTCTCACGTACATGGACAGCATTATCGATGAACAAGGAGGATTTGTCGCAGTTATAAACGGGAGGATTGACAAAGGTAGGGCCGCATTCCTACAGTTGAACAACATATGAATCTCAAAAACAACTGTTAATCAATATCAAAGTGAGAATATTTGATAAGTGAGTAAACATAAAACGAAATCACTACAGATCAATTTAAAAATTCAATTCAAACAATTATAAGTTACTTGCTTAATCCTAGCTTCTTTGAATTCCACCAAAATGGTTCACTCATTAAGTATACAGTAACAAATGGTGAATCCACCATTGCCGATATAGAAACAATAAACAGAATTCCTAAGATTATGATTAAAACTGGATTAGAAGATATTACAGTCTAAAAATAAAATAAAACAAAAGTATTTTGTTTGAAAGATTATGAAATAATAATTGCTGTGGAAAATAATCATATTCTGCTACAGTTATTTATCATATATAAGCACAAAGGTAGTTTATTGTAAAATATAAACTTTCAGGAAATGACAGCCGATTTTATAGCATTTGATGAATATACACTGTGTGCATAATGGAAATCGTTTAAAATCAGTTGAATAGTTCAAACTGTAAGGAATTTTGTTAACTTAATGTTACAGTCTTTGGTATTACATTAATAAATGGTAATAATAATAGAGATACTTAGTTTTTTAATTCACTAAATATCTGAGACTTCATAGTTATAACAGTTAACTTCTGAACATTTGGTCAATGAACTGTACGTCCTTTTCTTAATTTACCCCAACATCTTGTTAATCTCTTCGAAACGGCTTGACTTATAAAGGAATACATAATTAATTTACGTAATTGGTGAGTGATACTGCTTTGAGGCTGATGATATAATGTTAATGGCTGAGTCACACAATATTTTAACAGCTTTACAAAATCACAATAAGGTGTACACAATAAATTTATTTAACTTGTGATCATAGTATTGGAAGTATTAGAAGGGGGTTTTGTGGAAGTTTTAGTAATTTTTTTTATAGTTGTAATCGTGAGTCAATTGAAGCTAGACCACCATGGAAAACATGGAAGTACTGGATGGCTGTTTCGTCCTATTGTGGGACTCCTCAGCAGTGGCCTAGTGGTTAAGTCGCGGATGCACACCGCCGAGGAGTCTCACAATCGGACGAAACGGCCATCCAGTGCTTCCAGGATTTTTAGTTTTGGTAATCGAGGTAGTCTTTCCTCTTCGTTGTTCACTTTGATGCCAATAGAACAGTCAATATTTATTATTTTCAAAATAAATTAAACATTTCAATCAAAACTCATTATCTTGTATCGACTCAATGTTTCAGGACATTAAATGTAATTGATCTATTTTCTTCTTTGTTAAGCTATAATGAGAAATAATTTCAAGTAAAGCGAAATCATCAGTTTCATCCTGAGACATCATTTACAAGGTTCAATAAATGATTTTAATCGTTAACCTAATTTTGCATATGATTGAAATCTTGGATAAATAAATATCAGCTCCCCGATGAAAACCTACAAGCACTAGAAGGCTATTTCATCTTACCATGGGGCTCATCGGTAGTATGCAGTATGCAATCATGAACATGGGACTCGAGTCCAAGACCTTACGTTTTGCGCAAACACTTAATCTCTAGACCACTGAGCAAGCATCCAACGAGTTAATAAGAAAGTCTTTTACTCTTCATAGTTAACTATATGTTAAAGCAGACAAATAGAGAATTTATATGTATAGAAAACATGTGAAAACAAAAGTTACCATCTAACTATTAATTTACCATCAATACTTGTTTAATTTTTTGACAACATATTTGCCAACAAGATAATTTCATCGTCGTATGATTCTCATTTTTTGTTAGTTTATCATAATGATTATATACATTGATTTCAGTATCACATTTCAATTGGTTGACAAGATTTGTTTCAGGTAAAAAGAATATTAAAATGATAACTGGGATATAGATTAGAATACAAACAATCATTGTAATATTGAAGCCATATGTATGAATTAATGAACCTTTTAATTATAAAGGAATGAAATAAATATCAGAACATGATTTAATTATGTAATGTAAATGATTCGAATATAATTTAAAACAGTTTTTTTGATAAATACTTTATAGGTTACACATTGTACTTACTTACTTACGCCTGTTACCCCTCATAGAGGAGTATAAGCCGCCCACCAGCATTCTCCATCCAACTCCGTTACAAGTAATGCTTTCCAGTTCTTTCCACTTATTATTCATCCTTTTCACATCTGCTTCTATTTCCCGGCATAATTTGTTCTTTGGCCTTCCTCTTTTCCATTTCCCTTCAGGATTCCAGGTTAGAGCTTTCCTCGTGATGCAGTTTGGTGATTTCCTTAATGTATGTCCAATCCACTTCCAATGTCTTTTCCTAATTTCCTCTTCAGCTGGAAGCTGGTTGTTGATAGTATCCGGCCAGTGAATGTTAAGTATTTTGCGGAGACAACTGTTTATAAATACTCGTACCTTCTTGACGATGGATGTAGTAGTTCTCCACGTTTCAGCTCCGTACAGTAGGACTGTCTTCATGTTCGTATTGAAGATTCTCACTTTGAATGAAATTGGTTGACACTTGTTTTGATTTCCATATGTTCTTCAATTGTAGAAATGCTTCCCTTGCTTGCCAATCCTCGCCTTTACATCTGCATCCGATCCTCCTTGTTAATCAATGATGCTTCTCAGGTACGTTACACATAGTAGATTATGTCTTATTGATAAATTCTAAAGTGGTATTTGACGTAGATAAACGATATTAAAATTAAACTAATGAAGAATTATTTTGTATAAACCAGGATATTATTTGCATTTTTCAAGTATACATGATTCAATTTGGAATTTTCTAGTCATTTTGTGTCATAACGTTTTGTTGTAACTAATACTGCCCAAAGAAAATGATCGTGTACAGTGATTTTAATAAGTACAAGTAAAAAAAGATTTATTATCAGATCGAGGGTTTTTGTGGAGATTGTGATAAATTAATAGTTAAGTTCATGAATCGTTTAAAGCTAGGTCACTATGGGAAAGCTGGAAGCACTGGATGGTCGTTTTGTCCTAATGTGGGACTCCTAGAGGTTAGGTATTTGCGCGCCAGACCCAAGATCCTAAATTTTAACTCCGCGTGTGGGATCGCGGATTCAAATATTAAAAAGAATTTTTCAAGTTTGATAAACGAGTAAATTTATGGTATAACTCCATCATGTCTGGCCGTATTTTCATTAATATTTTAATCATTTATTAAAAGAAAACAATCATTAACATTCCTTTTGATAACTCACTGGCTTAGTGAATCATGATCCAAATAACATTCACATGCTTCTTTACGACTTAAATTTTGAGGCAAGTGTAATTGATGCTTAGATGTTTTTTCCTATTAATCTTACTGATGCTTCTAAGACATTTTGAAAACGTAACACAAGGTTTTTGAAGGTAAATCGGATACAGAGTGGATTTCTATTTAACCTTTTAATTTTCGTATGTTACAGCTAGGTATTCTGCATTTCTTTACTTTAACGAAAATATTAATATAACATCCTTGTTCCTACTAATGTAATCAAGTAGATTAGACTGATCATAAGAAGATGAAGCCTTGTAAAACCCTGAAGTTTAATTCTGTTTTTTCACTTACATAAGACCAATTGCGATTTTACATAACTGAGCTATAGAGAAAGATGTAAATGAAACAATAATGCTAGGCAAAATTAATTGATAATTTCTTTGCTGTTATCAAACAACTGAATACCGACCCAATAACTAAAAAATACAAACTTGATTTGAAATAGATATATTATTAAATTAACAGCTATCTAAGTCTGATTTAATACCAATGAATGTATTTTACGCATAATTAGATTCATAACTGGAAATATAATAGTAATATTGTATATCAATGAGATCGGTATGATACTTACCTGCAATCATACTAGCAATTGCCAAACTTAAACAAGCCAAACCATCAATAAGTGTTAGAAATATCCAACGTCGACGTTCATATACAGATTTTGGAATAGATGTAGATTTTTTAAGTTGATCATAATTTGTTAGATCTGTGATACAAACGGAGAATTGAGCAATAGCTGATAGTAAACCACCACCAATTAAACCTTCTAATACATTTGATGCAACCAATGCCCATGGTGTTAAACGAAAGAAAACTACAACAGCTGTACATATAAAAAACAAATACATTTATAATATATAAATGTGCAGTACAAAGAATAAGGATATATTTAGAAAGTTAATTAGAGAAAATAAAAAAAATTTCGATCATTATTAATCTTGAACAAGTAAAAATTACCTCACTTATCAATAGAGAATATCAGTAGAGATTTGTAAATTATAAGAAAGACTAAGCAAAATAAGTAGACTAGATCTATTCTCCTAAAATATATTAAATATAAACAGTTATCATTCAAGCTAGTTATTCGGTACTGTATATAGATTTGATGTGAATATGAAAGAGTAACATTTATATAATGATGTATGTATCCATAATTCAAAGTATTGTGATGTTAATTTGAAAGTATTTTGTCTTACTTATACAGTTAGTGTAACAGGAAACCTTAGATGGTGCAGAACATTCAAAGAATTGTATTTTTGAACATATTCGAATGGATTAAACAAGTTATGTAGCTCAGATTGAATAAATCAAATGACAAGACACAAGCACAAAACGAATGACAATCAGAAATTACCTCGACATATTTATATAAACCTCTCCTAATCTCTGTATTTCGCACAAAAACCACTTGTTATTTGTAAGATTTCACAACTCGAATAGCTAAAAGTTCTCCCTGTTGCTTCTTTTTTATACAGGAATTCCATTTTCATTTGGTGATTATTAGGATTTAAAAAAGATACCGTTATCAGTTTAATAATTACTTAATAAAATGATCGATTAATAAAATTCTATGCATAAATTACTTATTTAATGTTCGATTCTTAGATTTTATTTTTCAATATAGTACATGGTTCTAACTTGTATTTAGTTAACTCTGTTACTAACATAAATATATGAGATTCACTATTGATCGAGATAACCACAAATTTTTTTAAAAAAAATGTTATTCTTCTGGCCTCTATCCTTTCTTTTCTAATTATTATGTATCTACTATTTGTCGTTTGTTATGCACATAATCAAATTTATTAGAGTTTACGTTCTATCTCATTCATATTGATTTAGCTTTAATTAAGAAAAACTAGAATTCAGAAGATACAGGTGTTTATTAACAATTGTCCACGCAAAATACTTTGGATCCGTTTGCCAGACACTATCATCAACAATTTTCTGTGGAAGAGAACAAACCAGATTTCAGTAGAGGGAGAAATCAGGAAGAAGCTCTGGAAGTGAATAGGACACACATTGAGGAAATCACCCAACTGAGTCACAAGGCAAGCACTCATATGGACTCCTCAAGGTCAAAGGAGAATAGGAAGACCAAAGAAATATAGACGGATATGAGAAGAATGAACGAAAATTGGATATAATTAGAATGGAAGGCCCAGGACAGAATGGGTTAGAGAATGCTGGTTGGCGGCCTATGCTTCATTAGGAGTAACAGGCGTAAGTAACTAAGAAAAACTAGACTAATCCCTTATACTTCGAATACATATATTGATATTACCACAATGAATAAGTTTAATAAACACTAATTCACGCCCAAACAACCAACAAAATAAACTTTTTACCGATAATTTCAAAGTAATTTTATCCTCGTATCTTAAGGAACATTTAAAATTAATTGTAAATTTTTTCGCCAAACATTAATTTCTTAGGGTTACGATGCATTTTTCAAAACCAATGTTTTACTTCATCTTATGTATTGTATGATATTAATTTATTTACTTAACTTTTATCATTAAAGTAAATCTTAATAAGAATACATCAAGTTCGTATACCATTGTTTTTAGCCTTTAAAGAGTATTTTTAAACTAGATCTAAAATGACTTATATAAAACACAACATACCAACAGCCACCACTTGTGAAGCTTCTCCAGCTATGAGGATTCCTAACGCAATTTTTCGTCCAAAACGATCTGATATATAACCAACTATCAGAGTAGATATTAAACCAGGAGCAACTGCTGCAAAATTATTTGTTGATTGTACTAATGATGTTTGCTTTTGAGCATCCTGTTGTTTGAGTTTCATTTCTGTGGAACTGTGCATCGAATAACCAATAATTAGATAAAATGTATTAATTCTATTTTATCGACAATAACTTACATACTAAAAGAAATGAATAGCATTTTCAGTATGTTATCAAATGATTTCATATCACCTAAAGGAAATTTTTTAAAACCTTTCGAATTCTTTTAATGTTAATTAGAGAACTACCCATCAATTTATTAATTCAATAAAGTGAAAAATAAAGATTGATAAAAATGTACTGATTACCGCTATTTGAAATGTTTTACACAAGAAAGAATGCAAAATGCATCACTAGAGTAGGTTGAAATTATTCGTTTTTGATTGAGATCATGAATCGATCAATGTTAGATCACTATGAAAAACCTAGGAGCACTGGATGTCCGTTTCGTCCTAGTATAGGACTCCAGAATGCTCACTGTTGAGGAGTCCTATACTAGGACGAAACTGTTGTCCAATCCTTCCAGATTCTCAATAATGATCTAACATTGATCGCATCATGATCTTAATCAAAAACTCAACAATCTACACATCTTCATACTGATGAATATTTATTTTGTTAATATTATTGTTGACCATAATTTTCATATTTATATTGTTTTATAATATTGTCTAATTTAGTGGAATCATTCAAAGGAAAAGATAAATTTCATTCTTCTACTATGTCACATCTTTATAATACTAAAACTATTTAATTCCAGTTTACCTCACTTTTAATCTCATCTTTATACTGTTACGTTAAAACTTGAATTATAAAGTTGATTAATTTTCTAAAAATATATAATACAATAAGCTTCATACACATAGTTCCCTTTATCATTTTGATAAGGGCAAGAACAAAAATTCTAGCAGGATAGAACGAATTCATTTTATTTCATTTGGTTCTCGTCACCTGCTTGCAACCTGTAAGATTTAAAAATCATAATTACAAAATGGGTGTAAATTACTTACATGAAAGTGTTTAGTTGGAAGTTATATTGAAGACACATTAGTACAGTATAACAAGAGTGTATTTAAATTTAATAGACTAAATAATGTAAATATATATCTTATGTAAAAGAAGATTCAACAACATTGATTGTGATAATAGTTAAACGGCCAGTAATAAGTGATTACATAATGAGTAAACGTTGATAGGAATAAAATGAGTAAAACTGAGTTAATAAAATAAGATTAACATTTTGGAAGATAGTTGAAATAAAACTCAATGATGTAATAAATGTAAGAAAGAGTTTGAAAAGACATGAATATTTGTTTTTAGTTAACGATTTTTAGCGAGTTAGTTTTCTACGGGGTTGGGTCGCTAACCCCATACCCAACTTTCCTCCTTTATCCGGACTTGGGACTGGCAATAGCCTCCGGAGGGTTCACAGGCGGAGTTTAGAATTAGTATACTTATACATATTTCAGATACTATAACACAGATGATTAATATTAAAATTCACAATTACGGTTTTGTGCAAATCATGACATTAATTACTGGAGAACAGTGTCATGAAAATCTATCGTTTGGTTTTTATTACAGACACACGTAAATCAAATATAAGCTGTCACAACAAAGTGAAATGCCATGTTAAATATATAAAATGGTTTGAAATTAAGATATGCAATTCTGCATTATCGAAACTTTTGTTCGAAATCGATAGATTATATTATTTAAACTCATGTAAAATATCACTCAATAAGAATTAACTCAATCTCTCTAAAGGCCAAAATGAGTTCAAAGAATTCATTTACAATGGGGTCATCATCATCATACAGTTATATGATATCTTTTGATTATGCGTGCTAAATTCGAAAATTGATCTATTTCACTTGTGTTAAAAGGTTAATCTAAATCAATTGATGTCGTTACTCAATGTAAACTTTATTTCATTTTATTATAGAAACAAATTGTTGTAAAGTATAAAAAAATTAACTTGCTTAATTCCATCGATAGATATACCATATCCATAAGGTAATCCACGCTCAGTTAGGAAACTAGAAGTAGAATACAATGAATAAATAATAATATCAGAAGGGTTTTTTGTGGAGATTTAGTATTTTCATGTTTGAAAGCTTGAGTCAATTGAAGCTAGACCACCAGGGAAAACCTGGAAGCCCTGGACGGCCATTTCGTCCTATTGTGGGACTCCTCAGCAGTGGATTGGTTGAAGTTAGACATTAACACCATCGGATGCCGGCTCAGTGGTCTATCGGTTAAGTGTTCTGGCGCGAGACTGGTAGGTCCTGCGTTCGAATCTTACGAGGCGAGGTTGTGGATGCGAACTGCTGAGGAGTCCCACAATAGGACGAAACGGCCGTCCAGTGCTTTCAGGTTTTCCATGGTGGTCTAGCTTCAATTGACTCACGCTTCCAACTACAAATAATAATATCTCGTTTTATTCATTAAAAAAGTATCATCATTTAAGTGTATTGTTAATATGCTTGTTTATTGAAATCTATGAAAATATTTCAAAATTGATTTCTAGCAAAATGTGATGAGGCTCTTCGAAATGATTTGATCTTAATTAACGATGATGACATGAATGTTTCATGTATTGTATCCATCGTTAATTATATAATACAGTAGTATATTCAGAATTCAATAGTTACATAACTAAACTTGATTTCCTAAGAAATAACTTGAACATACATCTTACTTAATTGTTTAATGATAAAGGTTGAGAAAGATATCAAGTATCCGAGTGAATAAATCCGCTATCATTATGTTGATTATAACAATTTTTACCTAACTAGTTCCATCGAATAAATGTTTGGTCGGGCAGTGTTCAGACGGAGGTTTAACTACTTTTGAAGTCGTTTATTGAACTACAACTTCAAGCTTACACAAAAAGTGTGTTTTTAATTTCTAAAACATTAACAAGATAATGTCATGCAGTAATATATTTGTTGTATTCCGTGGAGAATTATGAATGGTAAATTTTGTGGACTATTTATGGACCAATATGATATGTATATTTGCTATTGTATGATTGCTAATTAACTTAACTATTCATATTCGTGTTCCTCTTATCATGAACTTTATTTCGACCTATAGACTATTATTATACGATTTACCATTCTTGAGTTATCTCCAGTCTAGTAATTACTGTTCCCCCTATTCACAGCCACATTTGGCCAAATCTTGCACAAATATTATTTTCTATTTTATGTACGATGTGGTCTGTTTGTTTGGCAAATAAACCGCGTATGTTTGAGAATAAGGATTCATATTGCAGTGGCTGAGATTGGTGTTCTTGACTTAACTGGATGGGCTAAACTGATAGCAGGACTGACAAGACTGCTCATACAGCTTTTGTAAATCATTGGGCGATCACTAAATTCACTCCTCCGTGATTGGTGGGGATCATTACGTTCATATACTCAACAGGGCACTCACGCAATCGATATAACAATATTCTATGCTGTTTTCTGTTAATTCAAATCAAAAACTTTAGATTTCAATTTAAAAGTTTCAGTACAACTAAACAGTTATCTCTATAAAATCTTAATCGACTTGACCAGATGAACTTACTGAACTAACAGACTCTACAGTGTGTTTTTTTAATCAGACCTGGTAACAACTATCAGTAGGTTTTTTCATATAAGATTATCATTAGATAAATACTTTGAAATAAGTTAAAAACTAAGTAATAGAGAAATAACTTGAAACTTTAAATGATGAAATATGTGTTACGTAATAACTGAGAAACAATCCGAATTAGCATTGTCATTTTCAATCAAGTAGGAAACCTATTGTATTCAACATTGTAATAATCATTTATTATATAGTGTTATTCCTTCATTTAACTTAAAATCGATAATAAAAAAACGTCATAGTCAGATAATTTATACTATTTTCAGCTCACATTTTTCATTCATTTTTGGCAATGAAACTTGAGATAAATTAACAAATATATCAAAGGAATGCACTATAAGATCCATTTAGCAATATTGATTATTATTGATAAAGTAGTTACCATTTTCGATTTACTACTTGAATAGAAGAAAATAGTTTTAGGTAAATCAGTGATCAAGACTATAAATGACTTATATATCAAAACGATATAAGGGTACACATTATTTCTCAGCTCATTAAAATTGAGAGTGGAATGTATAGAGTTATAGATATTCAAATTCCACGAAGACAAAATGTAGCAAACATGCATTAAGTCAATAACTGTTGTACAACGTCGTGCAGATGAATACAGACATCAAGGTTAGAATCCCTGAAATTATTATTATTGATGAGTGAAGATATTGGTTTATGTGGCTCCGGATCTTACACTCTTCATCCTATAAATTCATTGTTTCCTCTGGAATCATATCATTTATTTCAAGTTTCTTCTACGGCCACTGATACCATTATTACTTCTATTACTCTTGAATTTGTCTTCATAATTTAATCTCACTATGCAGATAACCTTCGGTAACTTGTGCCGTACATATATATATATATATATATATATATATATCAGGTTCTACGTTGCTTGTGGTATACATATAAATCAGAGGGCGTTTGGCGGAGAATTTAGTAGTTTCACAGTTGAAGTCATGAGTCAATTGAAGCTAGACCACCATCGAAAACCTGGAAGCACTGGACGGTCGTTTCGTCCTATTATGGGACTCCTCAGCAGTGCGCATCCACGATCACGCACCCGCTTCAATTGACCCATGATTTCAACTGTGAAAATACTAAATTCTCCACAAAACCCCCTCTGATCTATAATCATATGCTCACTAGTAACTGACTTCAAGAGATATTTCCTTGAGTTCTAGTGGGAAGCAGTGGCCAAAAGAGTTCTACCAGGTCTGTTGTAGAGATATCATCTCACTGAAGACAATTGGTGAACGGTCGCTCAAAATCGTGGATTGGTCGAAGTTAGACATTAACACCATTGGATGCCGGCTCAGTGGTCTATCGGTTAAGTGTTCTGGCGCGAGACTCGTCGGTCCTGGGTTTGAATCTCGCGGGTGCGGGATCGTGGATGCGCACTGCTGAGGAGTCCCATAATAGGACGAAACGGCCGTCCAGTGCTTCCAGGTTTTCGATGGTGGTCTAGCTTCAATTGACTCATGATTTCAACTGTGAATATATATATAAGCCATAATTTTGCATGAATATAAGTCTTGATATCTCAACCACTAGACCATTTACATATAATAATACTTTATTACATAACAATCTTCAATTCCTAATATGAAATTATTTGAATGAAGATTACGTAATGAGATCAATGAAAAATATGAATAAATTACCTGTAGAAAGTAAACTGATCACATATAAAAGTTGATATTTCAACTGCAGTATAAAATGGTATAACCATTGAAATCAATATACAAATAACTTTAATATCATTTTTAGAAAGTGTCACTTTAGTTGGATCAACTATAATATTAGGATCAGATTTCATATTTTTTTAATAATTCTTAAGATCATGGTAAAATTTCGAATAGAAAGCAAATAACTTCACTGTTGATAAATATAAACTAGAAATCGGTAATCCACCATTCGATTTTTTTTATTATCTCTATCATATACATATTACTTTAAATGATTATACAACTACAAACATACAATATTTAATTGTCAACCAATAAAATTATTAGTTTTATTTAATTTAACTAGAAAATTATTATTTTAGTTAAAGACATAAAACAATGACTTTTCTATTTTATAGGTTTGTTGATTTCTTTAAATAAACAGTTTGTTAGAAGGAGGGTTTTTTGGAGATTTTAGTTATTTTTATTAGTTGAATTCATGAGTCAATAACATTTTTGATTATTTGAAGAATGATCTGCAGAAACTGATATTTCGTACTTACACCTGTCACTCTTTGTGGAGGAGTACAGGTCGTCCACCAGCATTCTCCATCCAACTCTGTTACAAACAGTCCTTTTCAGTTCCTTCCAGTTGCTATTCATTCTTTTCATGTCTGCTTTCAATTCTCTACACAATGTGTTCATCGACCTTCCTCTTTCCTGTTTCCCATCACCATTCCAAGTTAGCGCTTGCTTCTCAATGTAGTTTGGTGAGTTCCTCAGTGTGTGTCCTATCCGCTTCCAACGTCTTCTCCATATTTCCTCTTCAGCTGAAAGCTGGTTTGTCCTCTCACACAGTAAGCTGTTGCTGTTGGTATCTGGTCAACGAACATTGAGTATCTTACGTAGACAAGTGTTTATAAACTATTGTACCTTCTTGATGATGGTTGAGGTAGTTCTTCACGTTTCAGCTCCATACAGTAGGACTGTCCTGACGTTCGCATTGAAGATTCTCGCTTTGATAGTGGTTGACAGTTGTTATGAGTTCCATATGTTTTTCAATTGTAAGAATGTTGTCCTTGCTTTGCCAATCCTTGCGTTTACGGCTTCATTCGACCCCCCAAGTTCATCCATGATGCTACCCAGATAAGTGAAACTTTCCACCTCTTTCAGAGTTTCTCCAATAAGTATGGTTGTGTTGATGTTTTCGATGTTGCACTTGAGGATTTCGTTTCTTTCTTTGTGTATGATGAGGCCTACTGATGCAGAGGCTGCTGCTACATTGTTTGTCTCAACCTGCATTTATTCGTGTACATGAGATACAGTAACCATATCATTTGCTAAGTCCGAATTGTCTAGTTGATTCCAAACTGTTCACTGTATTCTGGGTCTCTTATCACGTGTGGATGTCTACATAATCCAGCTGACAACCATAAGAAATAGTATGGGGAAGAGTAGACAGCATTGTCTGACTCCGGTCTTTGCTAGAAAATCCATCTTTCAGTTGTTCTCCATGCACAACTTTGCACTGTAGTTCGTCGTATGAGTTTTGGATAGAAACGGCAACCAGAACAAACAAATTTACATTTTAGCACTGATCAACCACTCTGTTCTTATCAATTTTTCTGACGTTAACAACAGAAGTGAAGTCAAATTACTCAAGGTAATAAGGTCAAAATTTCAAAAAACTATTGATTTACGACCAAAATAATTAATATCTAACTTTCATGCCATTAAAAAAAAGCTTCATGTATGGTTAGAAACTTTAATATTGTAAATAAATTAAACTGAACATTGTAATATTTGATCATCTACGATAATTGGTTTGTATGAATTAATTAAAATTCTTTCAGTTTTATCATCGAATAAACAAATCTCTGGATTAAATTGTAATCATATGATCAAAAAGACAAATACTGACGGTTGGAAACATTTCAATTTACAGCGTTTTGATCGCGACACCTTTGAAACCAATTTAAATGAATATAAATCGATGTATTTGGAAACCATATAAATTACGTGTAATGTAAGTATTCGACCCATAACATATTTATTCAGTATTGAGATCGATATTCATCTTTCAGAATAAGGTAAACGACAGTTTCACATCTTAAAGTATCTCAAGTGACAGAAATAATTCAGGCGACATCATTTCTCAATTTAATCACAGTGGTAGACTGATGAAATCATATTAACACAATTCTAAGAAGTACAGTATAGTGACAATTGTGAAAGTCAAGTAGAAATATTCCAGATTTTTAACATACTTTGGTGGTTGTGGAAGTTATTACATTGCGAGAAGCTTTGCCCTCATGATAAATCTCGTTGTAAGTATTTCAAAGTGAATAATTATTTTTTATGTTTAATGTTTCATACCACTCTTACGTGCTTATGAGATGTCAAATTTTCAAAACGTACTTATACTACTTATCAACTTAACAGTAGCAAAAATGGAAATGCAATAATTTGAGTAGATAGTATACAATTTCAGAATTAACGTCTTATATATCAATATTCAAATATATATGTATTGATTTAGCAATATTCGTTTGTGTTCACAGTAAGTAAATGATCTGTTTATTCACTGATGTTTTATCACTTAGTCAAACTTATTAAAAGAGGTGATTTCGATGTGAATCATCGCCGCAGGCTGATATATATATGACAATTTGTGTTCTCACTAGTAAATTACATTTAATGTATTTGTCAACATACGTAATCTCAAAATTGACCAAGCTTTCTCAGCAGAATTATTTTCAATAAAAGCCCGATAAGAACTCAGCATATGAATATTCTTTAAAATGACTATCACAAAAAAAATTGATACATCGATCTACCATAAACAAGGAAACACCCTGAATTTCAACATAGAGAGTTACAATATTCGTCCTTTTCCTCGCTTATCCATCATTTATTAACGCAACTAAGTGATCCATTGATTAACATTTTTTTTGTGTTAGATTATTGTAGGATTTCCCAAAAAGAAATCAACGATCTTTTGAGAAATATCAATGATTGACTTTGTTTTTATTTTCATTACGTCCGAAATTTAAATAAAATTGATAAGTTTCAGCTCAAATAACGCAAAAAAGGTAGAGGTGTACAGTCATACAATAAGTCGGCATGTGATATAAAAACTATGTTATGCATCATAATTGAATTGATTTTGTATTCGAAGAAAGGCAAATTACAACAGAATAAGCATAAAAAGAATTTTATTTTACCATGGCTAGAACACTACAAGCGTTATAATTATAGCTTCTGCTATTCTTTGTAAGAAAATATTTTCAAGTACTTTTCTGATCAAATCAAATTTTAACAGTTTTTATTTTATTTGAATAATAATGTCCAAGTGAGTTAGGCTGAGTTGTTGAAGTAGATGAAGCGGGAATACTGAAAGCAGATCTAACAAAAAAAGATGCATGTTAATCAACTTGGTAAATGAAAACTAAAATCAATATAATATGTGATAAACTTTATATTACTTCTAGGTTGAACTGTAGTGAATGCTACTCAGAAGACTGCTTGCAAGTGGTTTGTAATGGAACATGACGCGCAAGCTACAACAGTCATCATATAGAGAAGAGAATTTTAGTGCAGCTGAAACCCGATGTAGGCAAAACGAACAAGAAAACATTTCAAACTGTAGTACACCCATAGCGATGAGAATAGATTCTTGAAATCTATGTACATGCATAATGTAAACACAGTAATTTCATATATAAGTATAAATTTCTTCTACTTATTATATTCTACTACTAACAGTTAATTTCTATAGACATACTCATAAGTAATATAGATCATCTATTTCACAGTAATAACCTACTCTTACTATCAATCAGTATGAACAAAATAAGATATCAATGTAATATTTTAAAAAAAGAAGTGTTTTGAAAGAATAGATCATTACTCTAGTAAAGAAATTCATTTTAATGATCAAATACAATTGTTATATAAATTGATTATTTTCTATGAATTCATTAAAAATAACTAAAAAGAAGAAAACTACTTTCGTCAAAGTAAAAAGGTATTTTGTAGGTTTCTTTTTTCTGTACAAATGAACACTTAATGTAAGTATGAAACTATTTTCTCTATGTGTATACACTTTGATTGCAAAATGTAAGTTATTTAGGCATATTGGATAAGCTTTTCCCCAAGTGTTTTCCTTAAAATAAGTACTATTTATATAAAATAAGATGAATCTTTTGAAAATGGAGTCTTCATTTAGTTTCATTTATGCAAATGAAAAAAGAAAGGAGCAACTGCTTATGTGAAATAATAATTATACCATATATGTTGTGTTAGACACAAAATATCAATTCGACATAGTTATTTCGTTGATAAACAAAGAGGATCTGATGTAAATGTAAAGGGGAGGATTGAAAAAGCAAGGACAGCATTCCTACAACTGAAGAACATATGGAACTCAAAACATCTGTCAACCGATTTCATTCAAAGTGAGAATCTTTAATACGAAAGTCAAGACAGTCATAATGTACGAAGCTGAAACGTAGAGAACTACTACATCCATCGTCAAGAAGGTACAAGTATTTATAAACAGTTGTTTACTCAAAATGCTCAACGTTCACTGGCCGGATACTATCAGCAACGGCCTCCTGTGAGAGAGGAAAAACCAGCTTCCATATGAAGAGGAAATTAGTAAAAGACGTTGGAAGTGGATCGGACAAACACTAAGGAAATGTGCGTTACAAGGCAAACCCTATCTTTGAATCATGAATGGAAGCGGAAAAGTGGAAGGTCAAAGTACACATTACGACGGGAAATAGAAGCATATATGAAAACGATGAATGTTAACGGGAAAGAACTGGAAAGGATTGATCAGACAGAGTTGGATGGAGAATGCTGGTGGACGACCTATGCTCCTCGACGAAAGGTAACAGGCGTAAGTAAGTAATCATAGCTATTTCTGCTTATTAGTGAATGTAGATTACAGAGACTGTATAGAAATATATTGATAGAGTTATAAAGTTTATTTAAGCTTTTTTTATTTATCAGAAAAGTGATACAATGTATACAAATTGGTTCCCTATCTATAATTTACACACCTTTCACTTGTTGTTGTTTACTTATATCTTCTCATTGTTATTTAGGATTGAAATTGATCAGTCTCTTGTTGGTATATGTGCATCCTGTTTGGACTGCCTAGTTATTGCCTGAAGTCACAAGCTTTATATGCAGAGATGGATAATGACTAGCAGTGGAAAACAGGAAGCACATTTCGTCTTATTTGGGACTCGTGATCATGAACTCTGGGATGCAGGGAAATCCAACTGATTAGTCCCGATTAAAAAGACTCAAGCGTC